GGACCCATGCTGAGTGACAGACTGCACCCCTTTTATAGTTCAAGGTCTGTGACTGTGAAGGGCAATCAGGTGTCTGGGAAACTGAGTCATCCCGGGTTAGGTACCAGCTTCAGGTGCTCCTATAAAATCTGTTAAAGAATTCCAGGGTGACCTTTGGAAGTGGTGGGAGGTTGGCCTCTCCTGGGAAGTCTTGTCATATAATAAGCCATTCCTAGTATTGTTTTCAGACCCTGATATATGTTATCCTCTGAAGCCTTAGGCAATGGACTGAATGTGTCCCCTCCAAAATTCATATGTTGAACTCCTAATCCTCAACTCCCACTCATTTTGGAAGATGATTATGTCTTGAAGGTGGAACTCTAATGAATGAGATCAGTGCCCTATAAATAGGATCCCCAGAGAGCTCTCTTGCTTTCTTTCTGCCATGGGAGGACACAATGAGGAGTCAGCAATCTGCAACCCAGAAGAGGACCGTCCCTAGAACTGGCCATGCTGGCAAACTGATTTTGGACTTCCAGCCTCCGGAGCTATAAGGCATAAATTTCTGTTGTTTATAAGCCATTCAGTCAGTGGCACTTTGTCACTACAACCCAGGCTGACTACGACACCCTGTGGAAAAAGTACCATCGCCGTGTCATTTCATAGACTGGGTAACTGAGTCACAGTTAGGAGCAGAGCCCTCGTCTAAGTCTCTCCACTTGTTCTGCCCCACTGTGCTCCACAGAGCTGCACCCTGTCTTGTGCTGCTCCCCAAGTTCACTGGTCAGGGGTCGATGTCATCTAGTTTGGTTGGGGACACGAAGGAGACCTTCTAAGACCATTCTGTTTTGCGTTTGTAAAGGAAGTAGTGGTTGCAGTTAACTTTCCCTACTTTAAACAATCCTTTGAACTTTCAGTGTTCTCAGAACTGAACAAAAAGATGTTGTCTTGGCTGGCTTTGAACTGCCCGCAGCTCTGGAACTCACCAGGACACACACAAAGCAAAGGACCGGGTTGCCCAGGATCGCTCCACACGCCAAGCCTCGGGGCCTCCCGTGTGCTTGGGCTTTTATCGATGTGAAACCACTCTGGGGCGTATTGTTCATAGGAATCCAGGGGCAGTAGCCCAGCATAAGGCTAAAAAATTATAGCGGGCTTGCTAAGTGATGGTCTTATTACGGGGTTTGGAAAGCAACAACCACCACAAAAGATCAGGAGGGATCTAGCCTGGAGAAAAGCCACTTCTGGAGAAGAATGCATATATTCCCAGACAAGAGTTTATTTATCAAAAGAACCATCATTGCTTCTGTGACCTTTTCCTGAGCCCTTGTTTTGTGTTGTGGGTTCACTTTGCTCTGCTTCCTCTTTAACCTGTCTCCTGGGAATGTTCCTGGGCAGTCCCGAGCACTGCCCTGAAAAACTCCCACTGTAACTGAGGGGGAAGTTCCCTGTGAAGGTTGTCCTTGTGCCGCCGTGTTAATTAGGGGCAGGTTGACTGCTGTAACTGACAGCACCAAAATCTCTGTGACAGTGCGATAGAAACCTAGTCCTTGATTACATATGGGCCACATCTGCCAGGTGTCCTTCCTCCAAGAGGGATTCAGGGACCCAGGCTCCTTCCATCTTTGGCACCACCATCTGTTTGGGGGTGGAGGTGGAGAAAGAGAAAGAGAGAGAGAGAGAGAGAGAGAGAGAGAGAGAGAGATGAAAAGTTGCTCCTGGGTAATTTTTATGGGCTGGGACCAGAAAGCACACCTTCCATTGCCCAGAACTCAGTCACATGGCCCCACCATAACTGCAAAGGGGTCAGAAGATGTAGCCCCAAATATGCTCTATTACATTTGCAGTAACAGTAAATCCACTGGATTCTGTCAAGGGATACATGAGCTGGAGCTGCCTGTGGAGGTGTCTCCTAATGTCTTAGGAGACATTGTTGCTTTGGAGTCTGCCAAGAAGAAAACATTCAGAAGGTAGGCTTGGAGGACTGGTCACCCATATGGACCCCAGTGACTGAGGCACGGAGGGTGGGTGTGTTATACACAGGAGTGAATATACACTGTTAGTATTGTTTAATGTGGCTCCATAGTCATTAGTACTTGATGTGGCTGTTTTGCCTTCCCAGATCCTTCCAGAAAAAAAAATCACCTTTCCTTTCTTGGACCTACATTGGATGCTTTACGGGTTTCTATCCTGGTGTCAGTAACACTTTGCTGCCCTTATTTTCACTTCTGGCTTCCCCGACTAGAATGTACACTCCTTGAGGCAGGGACCTTGTCACATCCTTTCCACAGTGCTTGGGATGAAAGGTTCAGTACATAAATGATATTATTAGAGGGTTAGAGACTCACTGTTTCTCAAATTGAAAGCTTACCCTCCATATTAAACATATTGCCCGGAGAGGAAGCTATTAATTCCATTCTACTGTACTTGATCCATTAGTATCACAGAGAAGCAGAATGGAGTAGTGGGGGGAAGGTTTGGGGTTCGGTAGGGGTGCGTCACAGTCCAGCTTCTGCCACTTTCAACCCGGGTCGTTGTAATTTAACCTACACTAACTCTTCATCTAACTGCTTCTCACCTTTGACACATGGTAAGTGGGCAGTCTTATATCGTACCGTGTTTCCCCAAAAATAAGACAGGGTCTTATATTTATTTTTCTTCAAGAAGACACCCTAGGGCTTATTTTCAGGGGATGTATTATTTTCCCCTCAAAGCCTCAGCTTGCAGCATGCACAGGATGGCCGGGACCTGACAGGGGGAGCCGACCTCATTGGTGGGGCTCCCCGCACCTTTCTGGTCACCTCTGGGATAGTAGCTGTCACCATAGGGCAGATGAGAAGGGCTGCTGGTCTTCTTTATTGCTCTGCGACGAAATGCATGGCTTGTGCAGCTACGCTGCGTGGCCACGCCCATCACTAGGTCTTATTTTCGGGGTAGGGCTTCTATTGCGCAAATGCTCAGAAATCCTGCTAGGGCTTATTTTATGGGTAGGTCTTATTTTCGGGGAAACACGGCAATGATGATTTGAAGTTAAGAGAATATGCATACAAGAGACTTGGCTAAGCACGTTAGGAAGAAACCCCCTTATGCCCAAGAGTCAGGTGTAAGTGTTGTCCCCTGGCTGCCTAAGAGAGAAGCCAGTCCTCTATTCAGAGCAGCTGTGGGCAGTGGCGTGGGCATGGCACTTGCCCTTCTGCCAACATGGGGACGTAGATTTGGGCTTCAAGCCTATGCCAGTGAAAAGCATAGACTCATACGTTCTTAATGTTAGTAAGGTCCTCGGATGTGTGAAAAAGAAAAGAAGAAAGTGCTTCCTGAGAAATGAAGGGCTGGGCTGCCTTGCGAAGTAGAGACTCCTCATGCCGGAAGTATTCTGTAAAAAACGACTCAGCCATCTGCCAGGGATAGAGCTGAGAGGCCTGTTTTGAGTAGGAGAGCAGAACTGGCTTGGTGACTCTCATCAAGGAAGAGGGACCATGCCAAGGCCTCTGGTGGTTGATGAGTAATAAAAACAATAAATACCTGTCATTTCTGTTATATAAGGCATTGGGAAAAGTGCTGAATATCATTGCCTTGGCTGGTGGGTATGTCCAGAAAATACATGTTTGGAGATATAAGTAGAAAATGTTGAAAAAGACTTCACTCATGCTTTCTAAACCTTCCAACAACAACAACAAAACTCTGATCATACAACATATTTTAAAAAGCCAGCATACTGTACCATCTTTGGTCAAGAAATTGTTCATCGATTGATTGATGGATTGACCAATTCCTTCGACACGATCAGATAAGCAAATATTTGTTGAATAAGTGATTGATTGAATGAATAACTCTTCCTTTATGCCAGGTTTAATAGCCTCAGTTTCCCCAGGTTTTGTTACTATGATCTGTTCTTTTTCCACATGCCTAACAGTCCTGGTGACCCTGCCCCGGATGACTTTTCAGTCTGTTCATGTCCCTCTTAACAGTGCAGCTCTCAGACCTGAATACTACACCTGTACTCCACCTTCAGTCACGTGACCCGCCAGGAAAAGGCCTTGTGATAAGCAATCAGCTAAAACTAAAAACAAAAATCTTACTGTTCTGGAAGGCCAGGGGTCAGAGATGTCATGGCTGAAATTTCCTTCAAATGGATCCAAACAGGGCTGTTAAAGACCAGGGGTAGAAGTTTGCAGTTTTTGCATGTGATGTTTTCATTGCTTTATAACCCCGTAGCTAAAGTGACTGTTATTAATATATTCAGTCCTGGGCATGGCTGCTGGCCTCAATCCCTGTGCCAAGCACCAGACTAGAGATCTGGGAACTAGGACACAAGCCAGCTATTTGAGGCACATTACATCAGACATTTCCTGAGGTGAAAAGGAAGGCCTCCTTGCTAGAAAGCAGGGAGGATTTTGGCTCTTAGAGACTGGATTCAGTAACTTTAACTCCTTGGCTAAGGGCCAGGCCTCCAGCAAGCAGCTATCATGTGGCCTGCAAAAAACCCAGATCCAAGGCCTCTGGCTCCTGCTTTACGGGTGACACCATGGCCTCCTTTGAGAGGTGTATCCCCTTTTTAGGGGCAGAGGCAGATTTTAGGAAAGGAGAGACATTATAAAACCTGGCATTAAAAAAAAAAATCTTGGTAACTTTTCTAATTTTCAATTTTGGAGTCAATGTTATTTTTGTAGTGGGAAATTGCAGACCCTGAATTAGAATGCTGTCCACAAAAATATTGTCCATCTGTCACTCTTTCTTTTCTTTTCAAGTTAAATAAAATCATATAATGTATAGTAATAGATATATTGATGTTAACTATTAAATTTATAAATTAGACCATAATGGTGGTTTCTCAATTAACTTCATAAATTGTCTTTTGCAGCCAAGGAATTTGATCTCAGTAGCACTCAAAGCTGACTATGTTGTAATTCTGAAGTCTTTAGCTCTCCTTATATACTATACAGGCTATTATGTAATTACATGTGCTAATGCCTCTGTGTTCATTGAGTACAAAGCACTACTCAAATGATTCTTTTTTTAAAAAAAAAAATCTTAATTATGATGCAGAGGCTCTGGAAGCTTCCCTTCTCAATGCTTAAAGGTGTGTCCTATGGTAGAAACATCTGGTTAGAGTAATCTTAGGGTACATGAGAAGACAAGATACAGAACACCTTTGGGTGAATTATCATATCTGATATTCTTCCTGTCTGCAAATTACAGAGTTATTATTAGATCATTCTATAGTTTATTAACTCAGACTCAGCAGAGAGAAGTTCTGAAGTGATTTTCAGGATCAACGCCCAGGTCTTTTGATACAGATGGATGCCTTTCTCACCATAAGCTCTCCAGCTGAGGAGCACTGGTGTTGCAATGAACAGACGCCTGAGGGAATGATCTGGTAAAGTACTTTGGTGTAACCTTTCTGTAGTCTCAATTCTTAGTCATCAGTCTAAACTCTGGATACTTCATCTTTCCTTTTGGGAAAATTGATCTGGCACTATCTGATCCCTACCTAGGAGGGGTGCTAAAGAAAAACATGAAATATTTATGAAGGGCTTTGTTTCATGGGAAGTACTGTTCCAGGCTACGGAACTGTAGTGTGCTTCTGGGTGGCTGAGTTGGAAATGTAGTTCAGCTTTCACCCACTGACTCTTCCGCGGTTGCACAATTCCCTCCTGACTGTCCATGTGTGAACATCTAGGAATGTCATACATCCGTTTGTCTCCTTTTGTGAACCATGTTTGTTCCTGAGGATGGCACGATGCATTACTAAAATGTCCAAGAAGGGAAATAAAGGAGTGAGGGTGAGAAGAGGAGGTGGTAGCCAGGACATAAGAAGGGGAGGAAGGGAGGTGGGTAAAAACTGACAATGCCTGAGGAGCCCGAGCTGTTAACCTGCAGGGTGTGGACTTCCTCTGCCACTCACCCTGCAAGGTGAAACAGAGACTCACTGGCCAGATCCCGCAAAGGAACTTTGCCAAGGTCTGCTGTGGCCAGGCCTTCTCAGTGACAAGAGACGGTGGGGTGCGGAGCTGTTCATTTGGCATCCTTCACCCCCTCTGAGGTCACTGATAAAATATTAAGCTGATCCTATATGCAAGGCTTCAGGAAGATGATCAGGATCGGAGGGAAGCCAGGGGAAGGGACAGTGATCAGGTGCACGGAACCTTCTGGAAGCACACACAGGAAGCGTCACAATAGCCACATTGCCACAGCGAAGCAGCCAGCTTGTGTTTACTTTCAACTCCGAGTGTTTTCCTTTGTATATCCATACCATCACCTCTTATTTCTCAGGAAGTGACACAAAGTAACAGACTCCACCGATGCCATCAATGTCCATTTTGACAGCATTCGTGTCACACAATACACAAGCATGTACTGCAATTATACAAAAATCCAAAGAATAAAATGTTACTCGTTACACTGGTTAAAGTGAAACTGACAACCAAAAAGGAAACAAAACGAAACGGAATCTCTGCCATAATCCACAGAGAGGCTTGACAATATTACAAAAGAAAATGTAGCCAAATAATTGTTCTAGCATGCTGCAGTTCGTTGCTATAACTTCATAAACTCCCAGCTCGTTAGGGGAAAGAAAGTGCGTTTTTCACAGCCTGTAGTTCTCAAAGAAATAGCTCTCACATATATGCAGGTCAACAGAAAAAGGAATGCAAAGTCTAGGCACCAAGATTGCTCAGACAGCAACAGAGTTTAAAGAGTCAGACATGAAATTCTTCTGAAACAGATCTGGTTTCTTGAAAAAGAACATGGACAATGACATTAGTCCAAAAGGGCCAAGGAAGAAACACCCAACTAACTGTTAATAAGGAAGAAAACCATCAAGAACTAGAACAATTAAGACAAATATTTTTTTTTCCTACTCTACTTTGAAGTTGAATTACAGCTTTTCATATTTGGGATAAGAAACGATACACAGTTGATCTGTGGGTACAACCCTTCTCTTCCCCATCCACACTCCCCACGCCTGATCCAATAATGTTAGAGTACAGGTAGTGCTGGTTCAGTTGAAGTAGAATGACCATTTCTTCATGTGTGGCCATGCCTCTTTTTAATAATGAGGTATAATCTGATGCTAACAATGCCTGTTCCTTCCTGGGCTATGGGGTTGATCAATAGTGTGAGCAGAAGACCATTCAACTTTCTGATAAAAACCACACACATACAAAAATTATTGCACTTAAAAAAACCAAAAGCAAAATAACTCAGCCCAATGAGCGAAGGGCCAACTAAACTCTTCGGAAGTGCTGTACTTCCTGCCCTTTGCAGAGCGTCTTGACCTTTCTGGTGTTCTGTTGAATTTGGTCCATTATGAAATGTCCCGAAGTGAAAGAGTCCAAAAGACACTGTAGGCTCTTTAAGGCTAAGTCTTCCCAGTGCTTCTGCGAGATAAATTATCTCCTTGGCCACATACTACAAAGGAAGGGCTCTTTTTAGCAAAATGACTAGCAGGCCCCCCTCCCTCCAAAAATCTGGAAGCAAAGGAGGATGGGTGCACATCCTGTCCTGTCCTGTGGATGAGAAAGAGAAAGACAGTAAGCAGCCTGGAACAGCGGCAACCCCCTCCTGCCCTACCACGGCTCTCGGATACTCAATCCCTCAGCCCATGTGGGCGTGGGGTTATCTGTGCATCATTCTCCAGGTGACTCCTCTTTTCTATGGGTCTGAATGTCTTTCCCTCTCTGAGACTGTGTCTCTATCTGCCTTTCCTTATTCTTTACCCTCCCTGTCCCCTGGTATTCTCCATCTCTCTTCCTTGATGGATGTAGAGGTGCAATGCTAATCCCATCCTGCTACCCACTGTACCAAATGCTTCCCAGACTTCCATATTTCTCCCACAATGCACCACTGTCTTCTCTCCACCTCGTTGCTGGCTCCCCTCCCCACTCCCCATAGATTCAGACACTCTACACTGAGCTGAATGGACAGATTACTTATTACCTCTGCCAAGATTACTTTACACCTCCAAAATCCGATCTCCTAGTCAAAATTTGAGCACAAGGCATCGATTATATTACTAAGGTTTTCCTGAAGCTCTCAAGTTAGTGCTCACATAATGAGAGAGATCAAAGCATTTTCAGACTTTGCAATCCTGAGACTCTATTATTAATATTGTTTATCTTTTGGGGGTGTCCACTCTACCTCATGTCTCCTTTGTAACCCCTTGTAATCCATAAAATATTTGCACAACATATCTACATAGATAGACTTGGATGGTAGTATCCTGATATTGCAGGCACAGATCCAATATCAGAATAATTTGAGGTTCTGGGTGGAGGAAATGGAGCTCAAATCATCATGAGTTGCAGAAGCTCCTGTTTGTTGCTACCAACAACCAACGTGCACTGAAGCTCAAAGACCTGCTGTGTGGTATTTGTTTTTCCCTTTGACCACTCCTGTGGGGCCAGGAGTTGAGCAGAAATACTCATGTGAAGTCAGAGTAAATGCAAATGGCTATTTCTGCCACCTGTCCCATCCCATCATGTCTCTTCCCATTGTTCTAAGGCAGAGCAGCCATGATGAGCTCTTCCCTACTTACTGTTCCAGATTCTGAACTAGGACTTGGTGACATTCTCATATATGACATCACTGATGCAGAACTGCTGCTTCTTCTTCATCCACATTAGTTGCACACACTGATGGATAAAAATGTACTGCTCCTAGCACAAAAGACACAAATATATTTCAGCGCAAGATATTTTTGTGCAGATATGCGCAAAGATGTAATATTTTAATGACAGGTTGAATAATCAACATCTTGTGTAAATGAAAATCATTTTCATTATTTATAGGGACATAATTTTATAACTAGAAAGAAAATCAACTGTAAGAGTATTTTGATTAATAATAGAGCTTAGAACATTATTACTTTTATTTTTTTTATAGCAGAATGTTTTTTCCTAGCTTTATTTAGGTATAATAAAAACTGTATATATTTAAGGTGTACGATGTGATGATTTGATATACATATACATTATGAAATGATTATCACAATCAAGCTAATTAACACATCTATCACCTCACTCAGTTACCATATTTTTGTGTGTGGTGAGAACACTTAAGATTTATTATCGTAGCAAATTTCAAGTCTATAATACAGTAGTATTAAGTATATTGACCATGCTGTGTGTTATATCATACGATTTAATACTAAAAGTAATACATATTCAATCAAATCATGGGCTATTTTGAAAAAAGTGTGTCACTTCCTCATACACAGAGCTAAATTCCAAGAAGTTTAACAAATAAGCCATTAAAAAATATAGAGGAAACTATAGGTTAATTCCTTTCTGATTACTTTAGGAAAAGGAATTTCTAAAATTAACACCCATAAAACAAATTACAAATAAAAAATTCAAACAACTGTATGTAACAAAAGGTAAAAAGAATAAAGGAAGGGCAAATCAGAAACTGAGAGAGAAAAATATTTTCTAGAATCATAACAAAATGTTGATGCCTTCCTTTAGTTAAAAAGTCATCCAAGTCAGTAACATACAGATAGACAAGTAAGTAAAGTACGCCAACCATTAGACCAACTATCCCTGGAAGGCAGAGACAATGTCTTTTTATTCCTCATGCCTATCATTTAGTATGTGCTTATTAAATGATTTTTTGAAATAAACTATGGAAATAGTAAAACATGCAAAAGTGGCCGAGCAACAAAAAATGTAAATTAAAACAATATTTTTTAACTATGAAGTGAACAAAGCTAAAGGAAAAAAAATAACATTAAATGATGACTTGAGTTTGTTAAAGCAGTCATTTTCAGCTACCGTTGGTGGAGGCAGAATTTATAAAGTGCTCACAAATGAAGTGGACATAAATAATAGTAACAAGTAGAAAGGAATCTAATTTAATGTTTTATTAAAAAGGAGACTGATTTAAGTATGAATTGGTATTTCTATAATCAAACATCAGTGAAGTCTTTACAATGAGCTTTAAATAATTTAGGCCATTTGTTATAACATACAGGGTACATAGTAAAATGGTAAGTGGAAAATTAGGATGTAAAAAATATATATATTGGCTGGGCGCGGAGGCTCGCGCCTGTGATCCTAGCACTCTGGGAGGCCGGGGCGGGCGGATTGCTCAAGGTCAGGAGTTCAAAACCAGCCTGAGCAAGAGCGAGACCTCGTCTCTACTATAAAATAGAAAGAAATTAATTGGCTAAGTAATATATATAGAAAAAATTAGCGGGGCGTGGTAGTGCATGCCTGCAGTCCCAGCTACTTGGGAGGCTGAGGCAGCAGGATTGCTTGAGCCCAGGAGTTTGAGGTTGCTGTGAGCTAGGCTGACGCCACGGCACTCACTCTAGCCTGGGCAACAAAGCGAGACTCTGTCTCAAAAAAAAAAAAAAAAAAAATATATATATATATATATGTGTGTGTGTGTGTGTGTGTACACACATACACATATAGAGAGAGCACATGAACATAATTATGTAAAAGTTATACTTGAATGAAAACTGAGATAACATCAGCAAAATATGTCTTTGTGTCATGAAACAAAGGTCATTTCATGATTTGTCTTCTTTTTCTTTATTTCCCAGAGTTTCTCTATAAGTAATACCATCAGAAATAACCTTTAAGTAAGATTCAGTGAAGATATCCACAGGATTTTAAGAAATTTCTTGTATAATAACTTTATACAAAAAATAAAATGGTATTTCCAACCTGTATTTTTCAACAAAGTTTGGAGAAAACATGTTCCCTTTTGCTGTGATAGTATCACAGCCGTAACCCTTTCTGGTCATCACACTTCAAGCCACTCTTTCTGGTGTTAACACTGGGAACAGATAAGGCTGGACACTGTTTGGACTTTCAATCCACTCTACTCAGTGGCCAAACTTTGTGTAAAAAAAAAAAAAAGAAAGAAAGAAAAAAAAGAAAGAAAGAAAGTAAAGAAAAGAAAATAGAAAGGACCATAGGAAAAATAAATAAAAGACTATTTACATCCCTGAGAGTCCCTGAGAAATCTAAGCTGCCCCTCAGGGGGACAGGCTGCTCAAAGCCAAACCCTAACTGACCTCCAGGGAAAGGCTATTAGATGAAAACCAAACAAAATACACAATAAAAATAGAAGAGAGCACAACGAAGATGAACAAAACTGAACTGCCGCGCTTGACAGTTTCAAAGCACTGATCTAGATTATATTGTTTTATGTAATGTCTAATTCAGGCGTCCTCAAACTACGGCCCACGGGGCACATGCGGGTGTTTTTGCCCGTTTGTTTTTTACTTCGAAATAAGATATGTGCAGTGTGCATAGGAATTTGTTCATAGTTTTCTTAAAACTATAGTCCGGCCCTCCAAGGGTCTGAGGGACAGTGAACTGGCCCCCTGTTTTAAAAGTTTGAGGACCCCCGGTCTAATCTACAACGCTGTGTGAAAGCTGTCATTGACATTTTACAGATGAGAAACGGGAACTCTGAGAGGTGTCATGATTGGTGCAGTGGTAAAGCTGAGACCCAGGCCTTCTCCCAACAGCTGGCATTTCCCCTAACTACCTCTCTGCTTGTGTGGAGAGGCCCATGCAGCGTGTCTGACCGAGTGACAGAGAGAAGGAGGACAGGTCCCCACGCAGTCCAGGCAGCACGTTGCCAGGACCCTAAAATCTGCGCCTGAAGACGTCACTGATTTAATCACTTCTTTTTTGGAGGCAGGTAGGGTAGAGTGATGAAACCAAGGCAATGTAGAGACAACTGGAAAATTAAATATGAGCGATGGGAGGAGATGTGGTATGTGATTCATGGGTTGATTACATACATAAAGACAGAACTCAATTGGAGAATCACTCTACCTTCTTGACAATCATTAGTGTCAAAGGGATACTCTGGGATGATAAATGTGAAAAGAATCACATTTTTGTTTTTTTTACTTCATTCTTTGTTTATTAACTTTAGTATCTCAGAGGGCAGCAGGATTTGCATGTGAATGGGCTTAAAGGGAACAGTAGGGAGATCAACCTGTACCATGGAAAGCAGAGGAACAAGGAAAAAGAAAGGTAAGTGAACAAGATGTTCTAGATATGACTAACAAAACAGACACAGATAAATAACTGGAGCTGGAAAGCATCCATCCCAATTGCGCGGGAACTTGAGGGTCAAGCTAGAACAGCTGGGAAAAGTAAGTAACCGAGGGGACATCTCTGCTGCTTTTGAACTCCCCAGGAGAGTTCAGGGAAGGGGAATCACGCTTTAAAAAGACTGTGTCCACGGAGATGTCAACCTAAAATGCCTCCATGAACAAGTCAAACCACCAAAATTTAGGGTAAGAAAGTTATGGAGAAAACAAAACATGTTCTTGGCTTTGCAGAAAACCACACGGTGGCAGCCCTAGTTTTGTGTAATTCCCCCACCCGAAGAAATAGAATGGAGCTGAAAATGGGGCAGAGGATCTGCCTGTGAAAGAGATTAAGACTCTGTAGTTGGGAACAGTCAAAAGCAAACTGGCCGCAGTTCAAGTCTGTGAAGGTTTAAAAGGCATAAATTAAGTGAAAGGGGCAGTCAATGCATCAAATAGGAAACGCTTAAAATAAGGTGTGGCCCTTTGTAGCTTGGAGATTCATACACGTAACAGGGAGTTTTTGGTCACATATTGGGTTGTGAATTTATGGAAGTAAAAACCAAAATATGAATTGATTAATAACGCAATATTTAAGGATTAGGTAGTGGGCTTCTCTGGGAAACCAGACATTTTAAACTTCAGATAACAAGGAGACAGTCATGTCCCCACAAAGGTAAATTAGGAGGCAGCAGGATTGCAAATGAGCTCACCGACATGAGGAAACAAAGAAATGACTTGCTTCCTAATTATCAGTGAGACATCTGAACCTGAATGGTTACTCTTTCCCAAGTGGTATGATTCCGCAATAGCTCAGAAATAAATACACTGGACCAGCTGTGCCAAGCCTTGGTCAGACAGGAATGGGGAGTGGGAAAGAAAAGTAAAAAGGTGGGAGAGGAGAAAAACTCTGAAGAGCTGAGGAGACAGCCGCCATGACTCGAGGCCTTGGGGTTATGCTGCCATCTAGCGGGGCTGGGTGGGAAAAGCATGAGGAAGACTCAGGCTTTTTTTTTTTTATCTCTCAGCTGAGGTCAGGCCAGGTGTGTTCTACTCCACAAGTGTTCCTCCCACACGCACTCCTTGAGAAAAAGGATTACTGTACACCTGAAGCTAGGAAGTCGCAAGTATGGCTGGGTGATGAGGTTCACAAACAAGCTATTATTTCACGTGGGTTTTTGCGCCCACCTAGGTGCACGCCCACAGCTACTCTGAGGTCTGCCAGCCTCACCTTGGGCTGTCACTTCAGACTGAATGTACCCAGAGGCTTCAGGGGAAAGAGGGCGTGGGCAAGAAGAGGAAGAGGGGGCATGTAACACTGAGAGGTATTTCTGGGGTTGTTCCCATGTTGCTACAATAATAAATCCACCCATTTAGATGAAGAGGACTGGCAGTATGGGTAGGTTGGGGACTGGAAATCTTAAAAATCATAAAGGGGACAAATCCAACCCATGATCATCATCAAAAGTGAATTGGGTCGGGCATGGTGGTGCACACCTGCAATCCCAACTGCCCCTGAGGCTGAGGCAGGAGGATTGCTTGAGCCCAGGGTTTGAGATCCACCCACCATCACTAAGTAAATAAAAATCTAAAAGAAAATTTACAAAGTGATTTGAAGCAGAGTCACATGGAAGACAAACTAATGACAAATTTAGTAAGTCAAATCCAACATTTTAAATATAAATGAAATTGCATCAGTTCTACAGTCTCCAATGGGTAGCATTTACCCAGAATGGCTGTCACCTGTCCCCAACTCTCAGTCTGTTCAAAAAGAGTTTATTCCAGGGGTCCTCAAACTTTTTAAACAGGGGACCAGTTCATTGTCCCTCAGACTGTTGGAGGGCCGGACTATAGTTTTAAAAAAACTATGAACAAATTCCTATGCACACTGCACATATCTTATTTTGAAGTAAAAAATCAAAAGGAGAAAAACACTCGCATGTGGCCCTTGGGCCATAATTTGAGGACACCTGGTTTATTCTATCACAGACCCACTCATGTGTTCTGGATTACTGAAAGGCATATAATGCCAATAAAAGTGTAATCACCATACACAGAATGGATTTCTAGTGACTAATATCTATTTCTTTTATACCTCAAAGCAATTCTAACATTTACAATAAGAAATTGGAAAAGCAGATGCAAAAAAAATTGGGGACAATTGTTTTGAAGCATGAGGTTGAATAATGGTAAGTTTTTCAGTCCGGTGCAGATTAAAGAAAACATATTGATTATGCTCCTACCTCTGTCTGTACCATTGACATCCGGTAGGACCTCATTTCTGACACCAGCCCTAAGATGTCCACAAACTCATGGTCCCGGATGTGCTGCAGGAGCCTGTCCAGGGCAATGAATGTGCCCGTCCGCCCCACTCCGGCGCTGCAAGAGAGTGTTCAGACAGCACATTACTCAGGGCTCTGTCACTGCCGGAAAGTAATTGGCAAGTTCTAAAAATCTATAGTTAGCACAATTGTGAAAAAAGAGACTAAACTCCTGACAATTTTTTCCACTTAACTGATTTTTTTTTTTTTTTTTGAGACAGAGTTTCACTTTGTTGCCCAGGCTAGAGTGAGTGCCATGGCATCAGCCTAGCTCACAGCAACCTCAAACTCCTGGGCTCAAGCAATCCTGCTGCCTCAGCCTCCCGAGTAGCTGGGACTACAGGCATGCGCCACCATGCCCGGCTAATTTTTTCTATATATATTAGTTGGCCAATTAATTTCTTTCTATTTATGGTAGAGACGGGGTCTTGCTATTGCTCAGGCTGTGTTTCCAACTCCTTGAGCAATCCGCCCACCTCGGCCTCCCAGAGAGCTAGGATTACAGGCGTGAGCCACTGCGCCCGGCCACTTAACTGATTTTTAAGTATGCTGTTGTGGTTGGTGTTTCTCCTAACATCACATTTCAGACTCTCTCTTCTACCTTCCTGAGATGTGGGTTTGCACTGTCTCGGCCACATCGTATTGAGTACCTTGATGAGTTGGTTCCTGCCCTCAGAGAGCTGATGCAATAAGCAATGCCCCATATTTTGAATAGCCTCAGAGTTAAGTCCTCACACCCAGCTCAAAAGTCTAGTGGAGATGCCCACACTCTCATCTAGCTCTGGGCCACAGCCATTTGTGTGCCTTCAACCCCAAGTTCAGTTCACCATCCCAGACCTTTATTTCGGCACATCTGCCCTTCCAGTGAGTCCTGGGCCTGCTTCAGTACCCCAGGAATCTTTGAGATAGTTGCCTTAAAATCAAATGAAATATTTGGACCCCCATCTCCTCCAGTTCTCAAATCCCGGTGCTTGGAGCACAGGTAGAAGTGGATTGGCAAGGGCTGGCCAACCATTCACCACTGTTCCTAGTTCTACATGTTAGTCAGCTCTCCCTTTCTTCCAACCATCCATAGACCGAAGAACCAAATGGCTCTAATCTCTGAATTATGATGATATTATGGGAAAGAGAAAGTTGAAGCCAATTTATTTGCAAAATTTGCTAGGAAAACCCAACACCAAAAAACCTTGAGTTCAGAGCCCAATTTGCTTCTTCTGCTAGACAACCATTGCCTCCCTGGATTTCACAGACAAAACAATCTGCCACTGGGTGAGCACCTGTAAATTCATATTCAGAACTGCACCTGCTCTCTGCCCTGAAAGGGAGCCATGAGTTTGACCCCAAGCTTTATTTTCTGTACTTGGAAACAATTGTTTTGAAAAAGGACAATTTCATCTGCTAAAGCACAGTTTTTAACCTGCAAATGCCTAAGATGGATTGACAGCAATGATATCCTCCCTAAATGGAAACTTAGTAATTTATGAAGCATTTTTCTTCTCAGGGAGACACATACTTTACACACACATACAAACACACACACACACACACACACATGTGCCCTCACACGCTATAGCCATTCTAATTCATAAAAGTCAAGGCGCCAGAGCTGGGATTACAGACCCATTTGCTCAGGTTGGCGTGGCTGCCACTGCTTCCCTTAACATCTTCATTCCACTTCTTTTTCTGATATGGAATCAGAGCATATTTATGTTCTTTACTCTTTTGAGGTCGCATAAAATTTGTACAGCAATATCGTATCACAGACATGGATTTTGATGTAGCTTTGTTCACTTGGTAGGAAAAAAGATTAAATTAAAGATGACTCTTCCCACAAGGAATTAGTGTGGACCTTGATTTTTTGCAATGTAATGGATCAGATAGCCCCTTCATTCCAGCAGTCTAGTAAGTTACAGACAATTCTGAAGATCAACCATAGCCAATGCTAGTCTTTAATATGCTGAATATTTTTATTTTTTCTTCACTTCTTCTTGCTTTTATGTCTATTATATTATTTCAAGCTGTGGTCAGCTGTTTATAATTTGACCTTGTGTTTGTTCATGTTATAACCACTCAGGATCCTTGATGGAGTAAGATAATCTCTCAAAGTACTTAAAAGGTTGGACTTTGGAGATTGGTATGCCTGAATTTGAACACTAACTCCTCCCAGTTCTAGTTGTATGAACTTGAGTGAATCTCTTAACCTCTCCTCTGTATTTTTGCATTAAAAATGGGAATAATAATATCTATCTCATAGGCTGTAGATATGAAATAGCTATATTATAAGTAAATACTGTACATAGTAATAAGAGATCAATTAATCCCAGATTTTTAAAAATCATAATTCATTTAATTGTCAATTAAATTGAGCAGGGGTTTATGGAATGGTGGGCTATTTCCTTTATAAAAAGAGTCCATAGTGTTTAACCAAAAATGCATTAGAAGAGGTTACCTGCAGTGAATGATCATGGGACCTTTGCTCTTGGTAGCTTGCTGTCGGACCATGTGTACAAACTGCAGGATACTTTTCTGCAGCGTTGGCTGTGGGCACGCCGTGATCAGGCCATGCAGTGTAGTTAAAATGCATCACATCCTGCATTTCATCAGCCTTTAGGGAAAGAAGACACAAAGAAGCATTAATCTCACAGCCCACTGTTAGTCCAGGTCTCCACTGGCGATCACAAGGTAAGGGTACAGCCACGTTCCACTCCTGCTCAGTACATTTCCCTACCCAGCTCTTAGCTCTGTATCTGGTACAAAGGCGGTCCTGGAAAAAAAAATACTAATTGTATAAAGCTTCGAATAGTTGGATAGATAGGCTGATCTGTGCCTGAGTAGTTAAGGACAAGAGCTTAAGCAGATCAGGGTTTGCAGATCCTGGCTCTGTCATTTAGAAGCTGCATCAGCCTTGGCCAATGAGTTGAACACTGTAAAAGGTGCTGTTGGTGCCCTGCTTAAACCCCCTTTGCCAGCCTGGGGCACCCCTCTCCCAGGTGCTACCCGCAGAGCAGCACCCTTCTCCTCCTCATACTCGCCCTCCAGTGCAGGGAGCTGCTCGCTGGGAAACCTAAGAGGTTGTGTTCTGCTGAGGGCAGCTGCAGCTAATGACTGATTGATACCAGGGTAAAAAAAATCCAACGCTCTTTGTCAGAATGGGACACCCGCATGGTGCCATTCACGTCCCCCAGCACTGTCTGTGGGATCTAACAGAAGTCAGCCTTCAGCTGAACCCACAGCTGTGTAGGGCTTCTTCCCCATCTTTCTCTGCTTCCCTTGCTCCTTTATGAGTTTTACCCAAGAACACACTTTCAAAAAAATCACTTACATGAGAATCCCTGTCTTGAACTTTGATACCCGGGTACCCCACTCACTGAGCTTCAGTTTTCTCATATCTAAAAGTGGCCTAATGGTACTTATAATAAGGAGGGTTGTGCAGATTGTGATCATATTGCCAAAGGATGGCATGTGTTTGATATTATTATTACTACTCACTCAGTTCATGCCTAGTATCAAGTACTAGAAGGTGACAAGTTGTGTGCTATGGTTATTTTTTTTTCTTCTTCTTCTTTTGGAGACAGAATCTTGCTCTGTTGCTTCAGATAGAGTGCAGTAGTGTCAGCATAGCTCACTGCAGCCTCAAACTCCTAGGCTCAAGCCATCCTCCTGCCTCAGTCTCCCAAATGGCTGCGATTATGGGCACGTGCCACAGTGCCCAGTTAATTTTTCTATTTTTTAATAGAGATGGGATCTTGCTCTTGCTCAGGCTGGTCTCGAACTCCTGAGCTCAAGCAACCCGCCTGCCTCGGCCTCCCAGAGTGCTAGGATTATAGGCGTGAGCCACTGCACCTGGTCCTCCTTTCTCTTTAAGTGACAAAACTCTTCTGGTTTTTATCTTACTTAGCCATTCCCAAATTTCTCTTACCCTGAAAATCTTTCCTCATTTATGTAATTTTATATTTTTATACTTGGAAAATGTTCACATAGCAATGTGAAAGGAATAAAGAAGGGTATAAAATAAATGAAACAAATAGAAAAATATACTCATTAGCACAGCCCAATGTTCTTTGGGCAATTTAGCCTTCATTGTAAAAGGGCTTAAGATTTAGATTCTGGATGCTTATGGCCAAAAGGGGGCACTGTGGCACCAGATGTTTGTAGCCTTACAAGCAAACACTATTATTCAATGTTTTATTCTCATTTTTCAGCCCTTCACATGGTTGTCATTGAAAGATAGGTCATCATTTAAGACCAAGGACAAGAAGCGTAGTATTGACCATACAATAATCTATGTGGCTCTTCCCTGTCAAGGGAATAGGGATGGGAACGGACCCTATTTTATGCTCTGCAATTTTTTTTTTCTCCTAAATACAAACCCAGGGAAAGATTTTTTTTTTTTTTTGCCTGTGTTTGTCTAGCAATTTGCACTGGCTTTCTAACTGAAATAACCAAGAAAGAAAGAAGAGTTCAAATGGCATTTAGATCGTCAAATATGTTCTCTGATGGAAAGTATGTCGGTGCTTTACAAGGGCTTTATTATTTTTGAAACATTTCGGTTAGTCACTGATTTAATATTCATTCTACAAAGATAAAATACTTGCAGCCAACACTTGCAGTGTACTGGGGGAGGCAGATATAAAGAGGGAGAATTGCAACCACCTGAAGTGTGCAGCGGTAGCACAGTCTACGTGAGACTCTGCTCCAAAAGAGAAAAGGGCTGATGGTCTCTGAGTCCAAGGAAGGTGCCACAAAGGAGGCGACGCTTGGGCTGAAACTCTGAGTAGAAACGTGCTTGGGGAACAAGGAGGAAATACGACTTCAAAGGAATGGAGCAGCTCCAAACACAGTCTGGCACAGGCGTACCTGGGATTTACCTAAATCCTCTTGGTAGTAAAAGCCATTGTCAACATCTTGTAATATCAGTGTGAGCTGGATTAGTTAATGAGTTCTTATGTTCTATCGATAGGGACAATCTTTCTTTCCATTGTTTATATTAAGGGCCAGCAAACTTTCCTACAAAGGGCCAGATAGCGAATATGATTTGTTTGTTTATTTATTTATTTATGAGACAGAGTCACACTCCTTCACCCAGGCTGGAGTGCAGTGGCGCCATCATAGCTCACTGCATTCTTGAACTCCTGGGCCCAAGCGAGCCTCTCACCTCAGCCTCATGAGTGCTAGGACTACAGGTGTGGGTTACCACACCTGTCTAACTTTTTAAATTTTTGTAGAGATGGGGTCTTGCTATGTTGTCAGGGCTGGTCTTGAGCTCCTGGCCTCGAGCAATTCTTCTGCCTCGGCCTCCAGGGGATTACAGGCATGAGCCACTGCACCAGGCTCAGATAATAAATATTTTGTGTTTGTGGGTCTTTGGTTTCCACTAACTCAAGCCTAGCGTAACATAAAAGCAGTCATGAACAATATGCAAACAAATGTGGGATGTGTTCTAATAAAATGTTATTTATGGACACTGAAATTTGAATTTCACATAATTTACCTATAATCTTTCATATGAAATACTTAAACATTTTTTCAATCATTTAAAAATGTAAAAAGTATTCTTAGCTTATAGGTTTTACAAAACAGGTAGTAGGTCAATTTGGTCCATAGGCTGCAGTTTGCCATCTCCTGGTTTGTACTACCAAGAAGAGTTGTTTCTTTTTTCTTTTTGTTTTGTTTTTTTGAGACAATCTCATTCTGTTTTCCCGGCTAGAGTGCTGTGGTGTCAGCCTAGCTCACAGCAACCTCAAACTCCTGGGCTCAGGTGATCCTCCTGCCTCAGCCTTCCGAGTAGCTGCGACTACAGCATGCGCCACCAAAATGCCCGGCTAATTTTTTTCTATGTATTTTTAGTTGGCCAATTAATTTCTTTCTATTTTTAATAGAGACAGGGGTCTCACTCTTGCTTAGGCTGGTTTTGAACTCCTGTCCTTGAGCGATCCTCCCTTCTCAGCCTCCCAGAGTGCTAGGATTATAGGCATGAGCCACCATGCCCAGCCAGGAAGAGTTGTTTCTAAGCAGGGAAGAACATCTCAATGAGGACTTTCCTATTACATTGTGTCCTCATTAGAGGGCATATTCAAAGTAGAGAATACTAGTAAAAACTCTCTCCAAATTCTATAGGCAGAAGGCAACAGGGTGACTTTGGTTGATGTTAGCAACTAAGCCTGACACAGAGACATTACGCATGTGCTCAAAGACTTGCCATCTGAGAGGCAGCAGGCCTTGCAAGAAAAATAGACTTTTTTTTTTCACATTCTAACAATCAGAAATCAATAGCAGCACTTCAGGACAGATATGGAACCATGATTAATAAGGCCTGGAAGTACCTTCCAAATAATGAAAAGCCAAACCAGAACAAAATAAGAAAGAAACCCCAAATGAAACCCAAACTACTAAATCAAGGTTTAAGTGCTTAATTTAAAACATAGTCAGGTGTGGTAGATCATGCCCGTAGTCCCAGCAACTCTGGAGACTGAGGTAGAAGGATCACTTGAGCCGGGGAGTTCAAGGCTGCAGTGAGCTATGATTGTGCCATTGCACTCCAGCCTGGGTGACAGAGTAAGACCCCTGTCTCTAAAAAAAAATTTAAAAATTAAAAAAGTAAGTGTGCCTTATATATCCTAATTATACTCATATATGGTTAATATAAGTAGTGATAACACTTCCCGCCTCAATTATGCCTGATAAGCAATGAAAAACTGTGTCTTCCATTACCCTGGGCTAATTGGAGATGGACCAGTGCAGACTTTTCATTGCATCTTCTCAGGCCCCTGGGGCAACCATTGCATCCACACCATCTTTGAGGAAATGGGAAATGACTACACTAAAAGTGGATTTTTTTTCTCTTGAAGGAAGAAGCATTGCAAAGCCTGAAGTGCTCATTACTTTACACAGTGGTGGGTTGCTATCCTGGCACCTGCTGGGTGGCAGCGGTAGAGGTGTCAGCGTGTGGACAGCACCTGTCGTCCTGCTTGGTGACTTACGTAGTTGATCCGGAAGTGTCGACAGGCCCAGTCGTCCTGCTCTTCCTCTGAGACCATCTCTACCGTGATGTCTCCATAAGCTATAGGTTCCTCCGTGAATGGCCAGTAATGGTCACATTTCACCTGGAGTGAGGATAACACAGTCTTTTAAAACAAACAGGCTAGGGAAGAAATGAAGTCCGTGCTCCCTTAGGGAACACAAAGGGACTTGCCTCCAAAGGACTGTACAGGACTGTTGTGAAGATGGAAAATAAAGCAAGTACAATAGTTTCTGCTACACATTAAGCACGTTATTAGCGGCAGTAGTAGTTTTGCTAAGTAGGATCAGCCTCATTCTGTACGTACCCTCCTTTTCTCATTACACTGAGTGAGCATAACAATAATGTGAGACTTTTGTTGTAGGACCATCTTCCAGAAGTCATTCCTGGTTTCGGGCAGCGGGCCCTGGGTGGCAATGTATTCTTGGGGTGAGTTGTAGCCCTGAAAGATAAGTGACAAAGTTATCACCTAACCAGCCACTGTCAACACCAAATCCTGTTCCACACCAATGGGAAAAAACTGAAAATTTACTGGTGATAAAACTGGCAAAGGATCACACACCTATGAAACATTTTCTCCTTTGTTCATCAAAGAGGCAATGAAAATAACTGATTATATAGGTCTGTGTGATTTTAAGCAAAGTTCTCCAGAAGGCTATAAAAATCACATCCACACCTTTTTTTTTTTTATGGCAACAACCACTCTCTTTATAGATATTTAAAAGGCACAGGTGCTCAGGTGGGGCCCTTTGAGATTGTTTGCTGAAACTGAAATTTAAACACAAGAAAGACAATCTTTAGCATTTCTCCTTTTCCATTCACTAGTCCTTTACAAAGAAATTGGCATGTTACTAATCTATGGGTTCCCTCCCTTCTTTATTCTGAAATGGAATAAAGAAAACTGCTCTTTAGAGTTCAAGCTGGGTGGGGAAAGGCTCCCCTTTTTAACTGTTTGACACATACATAGAGCCCTGATAGTATCCCTCTGGCTGGGCTAGTGTTGGGATGCCTGTTTTCCTACTTACAGGAATGTAGTTGGCATTGATGTAGTCCGCACCTTCCTCTTCATTCATGGAGACTAATCTGACACGGCTAAAGTCATCTGTAAAGAATAAAGAAAAAAGAAATGTTAAAAATCAGGATGGAAGGAAGAATGATCTTGCCCCTCTCTATCCAATATCAAGTCACATAAGCCAATGATAGAGTAGATAGATAGTTTATTTTAGCCTGATACTTTAGCCATTCCTCAATCTCTGTTTAAATAAGTACATAAATATATTCCAACCACTATTTTCTCCCCACCGGCTCCCCTATCCTTGAAAGAACTGCCTCCAGGGCATTTGGGGGTTATGCAGAACATTTACAGGAACTAAAATATCTGGGAGATTGTATGGAAAGCTATAGCATGTAGCCTAAATACATGATTTCTATTTCACCTGGGGACATTCACAGAATTCCCAGGCTTTGGGAGACCTAGAGAAGATGCATGGGGGATTTTTTGTAGGTGGACATTTGAATGAGAGAAGTACATTCTGAACTGTGTACAGATGTGAAATGTTATGATAAGACTACGTAATTTCATCAAGAAACCATATCAAGGAAAGAGTTCTCTTTCTAGAGCTTTTCCAGCCTCCCACTTTTCCATTCTTGGCCAGCTCACCTACAGTGTCGCAGAGAGGAAAGTTAAATCTACATTAGAATGCATTTTAATTGTCCTGTAAGTACTTTATATCACTTTTTTCCCCTTTGAAGGTTGCTTTTTGTCACAAAATGCTAAGCAACAACATAATTTGCCAGAAGTTAGAGAAGGCATTTTAATACATCGCACCTTCTTTTGTGTACCTCCCTCCAGTATCAATGAATTGACTAGAAATATTTTATAAGAGCACAAATTATCTGATTCCTAATTCCTCTTTGATCTTCAAAGGGCCAAATGGTCAGCCTTTTCTGTTCAGATACAATTCATTTAAAAGCATACTGATTAAATCTTCCTCCATATAATAGGATGGAATGACATCAAATAGGAGTGAGATGAATGCAATCTCAGAGATGACCTAGAGGTCCAGATCACAGCTGGGTGTGGGCAGAGATTGGTGAAATCGACTGATCTACATTAACAGTCCTTTAACCTTTAAGAGACAGGAGTAGGATCAGCACTATTGACCATCTTACATGGTAGGATGTTTGTGTAACGGTTTTTACATCGATTCAGTGGAAGATCTGCAGCAAAGTGTGGAATATCCAGTCCAATCAATTTCAGTTCCTGCAAAAGACACAGAATGGGTTTGAGATCTCTGTGCGTGGTGTGGATTGAATTACTGATCACACAGACTTATTATTCATGTTGGATTATTCTTCATTCCCTCCATATAACAGAATCACAACATGCTCTTTGCTATATAATGTTGCAGTAGTTTCCTTTGGGGTAGAGTTTATTTCTCCACCCCACTATTGTCAACTTTCTCTGGCCAATGAACTTGGAGAGAACTCAAGTCCAATCAGAAGGTTCGATGCACTTGCTTAGTTTGGTTTGCCCTCTTTTGTCTGCCCTCTGCCAGGAAAAGGACATGCCCAGGGAAGGTGCTACTCCCAGAATGAGGAGACACATGGGCAGACCTGACTCTTCCCTGCAGCCTTAAGTGGAACTGCCCAGAAGTCCCACAGACCTATGAATGGAAAAAATAAATGTGGTAGGCCACTGAGATTTTTGGCTTATTTCTTATATGGCATTATTACAGTAATAGCTATAAAATACAACACATAAATACTTTGGATAGTGGTCATTTGGAGAAGTAATAACTATTAATATGTGTATAACTCTCAGGGTATGGAAGATTTGAAAACAGAAATGCTTTTCAGATTTTTCGGGGAATAGGATAACTGAAATTTATGGAATTTGCATAAATATTTTCTATTCTATAGAGAAATGTAGTCTTTTTTGCTTGTAGGCAATGAGCCTTAAAGAAAGACATACAAGAGAGAGTGAGGAGCAATGAGAAGGGAACAATCTCCACGTTACAAAACATAGGGTTAACAGGCACTGAACATTTGGTAATAAAACTTCAAAAACAAAGATGAATCAGTAGCAGTTGAGACAATCCTTCAGTGAGAACAAGAACATCCAAATATCTGCCTGCATGTATCAGTACTCTTATAAATCCCATTATCAGAAGGTGCACAGATAGGAAATTTTTATATAAACGAACAACCACTGGACTTCAAAAAATTTATGTTATGGGAAAAGGGGGTTTCTAAGTTGCTATGCTATGTATCTTATAGGAATCAGGGGAGCTGTAGTTGGGTCACCTGCATTCCTGGAGGCATCATTCATATTGTCTACATGAATGTAGACAGTGGAGTTGTACAGTGCACAACCAGTACAGCAGATCTAGTTACAGTCTTGCACAAATTTTAGAGAAGTATCAGTAAACAGCATTTATAACCATCTATAAATTACCTATATAGTATGCATCTATAATCTATACCTATGTATCTATACTAACTACTTAAACAGTATGCATCTTTCTGTAAGTCTACTAAGTGAGGAAGTAGAGAAATCACTAAGTGGAGAAATCACCTGCTATACATTTTATTTACACTTATAGAATGGTATTATTAAGCACAAGTTTTACTCTTCATAATTCCTCCCAATTATTCCTTCAAAGAATCATAGGCTGGAAGAATACTTCTCTGGGAGAAGAATTTTGGAGAGTCTTTAAACATTTTTGAAAGGATTTGAAGACATTTGATGATGTTCTGAGACATTGGAATAGGAATCTCTTTTTCATGCCTTTTGTGTCTTGATTCAAGCGCTCTTTGCAAAGCACATGCTTTAGTAATTAAGTTCTTGGGTCTTCTGCTGCTTTCAGATAGAGGGTCCTTGGTGGCCACTTCCCTTGTGCTTAATGGCATCGGGTTGCATGCCTGTAGTCAACACACATGAACTGACTTAAATTGCCCAGATTTCTCTCTTTCTTTGATTCTTCATCGCTTTTGGCTTTTCAAGACCACAAAATCTTAAGCTCTTTGGTCTGAGTTGAAGTCAGTCTTAGACAAACTATGTGAGGTATGATCCTCAACTCACAAAATTAGAATTTTTTGGCTCTTTGGTCTGAGTTGAAGTCAGTCATAGACAAACTATGTGAGGTATGATCCTCAACTCACAAAATTAGAATTTTTTCCATCTCAGACAAAACTCTTGCTTGACAAATGGGTTTAGGCAGAAGCTTGTCACTGTTGCTTTGTAATCAAATGCTCCATTTCAAAGGGTTTTCAAAGTTGACTATATTGTTTCTTGTAAGAAACAAAACTTATTTTTAGCAAATTTCAACCAAATCAATGTTAGATCGGCTCCTTCTGGCAGCTATAAGCTTATTTAAATGATGCTTCCATTGTTTAAACTATTTTGGAAATCTATCTCATTTAGAAAGTGCCTTTATTGATAATTTGCCAAAATATCTCACCTATTTTTGTGGACCACTTATAAATTTTATGGGCTTGGAAAGGTAGTTCAACACTTGTTAACCTCAGTTTAATCATTTGTAAGATAAGGCCAATAATTTCTCCATCCCTCACTGATTTATCGTGACTATCAAATGGAATAACTCAACCCTAATGCAGCATTATTGATAATGATTGTGCAATGAATCTTTGTTTTGCTTTGGCTGACTCCATAAATTCTTCCTCCTTTGCCATTTGTGCTAACAGACCAACAGCTCTCCCAGCAATTCCCCTTTGGGGACAGACTGATAAGCCACAGGAAAAGGTCTCAGATACAAAAGACACTGTGGAAACAGATTGAGGCTGTGAGTTGGAGCACATATGGAAGCTGACTAACTGATAGAACTTTAATTGTGTGTCGCCTCCCTGCTGTAAATGCCCTAAGTTGATAAAAGAGGTTTAATTGGCTGAACACTGTAAATGGAAATTGCCAAAGTTGGATTGCAGCAAAGCAGGAACTGCATGTCAACACAAAATGCTAAGCAGTCTTTGTAATGTAGCCTGTCACAAAGTGGAAAATCAAATACTAAGTTTCCAGTTCAATAGCTTTGCAGTCGTTTTCATTCCAACCATATGGAAATTCCATTGGCTTAAATCTTCATGAAGGCAAAGTATGGGGTGATGGCCTGAAACCAACGTAAATCATTTTTGAATTTTCTTTTGTCAGTTTTGTTTCTAATTTATCATCTTTCTTCCCTAGGGTGCATACTAGTCATCTATAGGGGATTGAATGGTGGTCCCTAAAAAGATATGTCCCATCCTAACTCCCAGAACCTGTGAATGTGAACTTATTTAGGAAAAGTCTTTGCAGATATAATTAAGTTAAGGATAATGAGATGAGATCACTCTGGAGAGGAAGAAGAGGCCGTATAAAGTTCGAGGCAGAGATTACAGTTATGCAGCTGCAAGCCAAGGAACCCCTTGCGGCCATCAGAAGCCGAAAGAGGCAAAGAAGGGTTCTCCCCTCGAGCCTTTGGAGGGAGTGTGGCCCTGCTGACACCTTGATTCTAGGCTTCTGGCCTCTACAACCATGAGAATAAATTTCTGTGGTTTTAAGCCAACAAGATTGCGATAATTTGTTGTGGCAGCTCTAGGAACGAACACAGTTGCCCAAGCCCAATGGCAGTCCATGTTTTGTTGGCTGTGTTGGAAGCATACAAATCTCGAAAAGCAAAGCACAAACATATGCATTCTATTAGTCTGTTTGGGCTACCACACCAAAATACCGCAGAGTGGTGGTTTAAATAGCAGCCATTTATTTTTCACAGCTCTGGAGGCTGGGAAATCCAAGATCAAGGTGCCAGCAAAGTAGATTTCATTGTCAGGCTTCTTGTCTTGGCTTCTAGGCAGCCAGCATCTCACTGTGTGCTCATATGACCTCTTCCTTGTGTGTGTTCTGGGAAACAGAGAGAGCAAGGGAGCTCCCTGGTGCCTCTTCTTACATAGGCATTAATCCCATCATAAGGGCCCCACCCTCGTAACCCCATCTAACACTAATTACCTTCCAAAGGTCCCATCTCTAAATACTATCCCATTGGGGGTTAGAGCTTCAACATATGAATTTTGAGAGACATAAAAATTTGGCCTGTAGCTTGCACAGGCTTTCTCCTTCTTCTGAGGAGAAAATAAGCCGCATTCTGGTCTTAGAATCTGTAACAATGTCGCAGGTGATAGTTTTTGGTGTTTGCCTTGGGATAGGTTGGACATTAGAGTCAGAGTTAGACTCCTATTTGTTCATAGATGTGCAATAAGTGAGAAGAAACAATGTGCTCATGGTGTTAATAGAAGAGGTTTGATCTATAGCAAGTTAAATCTCCTACCAGATACCGAAGTACCAAAGATAATCTCTTGTGAACTGCATGGCAAATAATGTAGTTTTTTTTTTTTTACATTTCTGAACAAAGATGGTGAGGCCCTTCACTAGCATCCTGATTAAACACAAAGCACATAAATTAATGGCAGAATGAGCACTGTGTGGTATGTCTCCTGGGTTCTCACATTTCAGCTCTAAAGTCTAGTTCTTCCAAACCTTTCTCATATTAGACATGAGAAATGAGGAACTGATTTTAATCCCTGGGTCCCAAATCTCCTTAAGAAAAGATGTATGCTTTCATCAGAAGCATAATCAATCTTTCTAGCAGATTCAAAATCAAATGCAGAGTAAAAACATTTATTCAGGAAACACGAATTAGCAACTCATATAGCTTCATGTATGACTTATAGCTGTATTCGTAATATATGTAAATCTAGACATTAGTTTGAATTTGCATAATGCTTGCAAATGTAATTTCTCAGTGTGAGTGTGATCTTTTAATGTCAGTGTCAAAATGTATACAAGCAATAAGCATTAATATAAACAGAACAAATAAGTGGATTTAGCCAGACCCAGCTGATTCAGCCATTTTGGTACACTCTTGGGTTTCCATTAAAGCTGGGAACATTTTTTTGTTCTTAAGCTTTAATTAACTATTAACATAGTTTAAGAAAATTTTAGGGCTTCCATGTGAAAGGTCTGACATGCATGCTGAAATTAGGCATGAGAGCATAATGCTTCTTTGAAAATCAATGAGGAAACCCTGACATTGAACCTGAGGATGTGGGGGCAGGGCGGGGCTCGCATAGGCAATACCTGGAGGCTGCCCAGAGAAGAAGGAAGTGAGTCAGACCAGCGGGGACACTGTTTGAGCAAATGTTAGTCCAAAACACACAGTCTAAGCCTGTGACTTAAAACAGACTCCTAGGGAGTAAGTTGTATTTATTTTCTCACTGAAACACGTACACGATGTCAGGACTTGGCACAAAATAAATTACATAGATGACCAATAGTGTTCTAAGAATAAAGATGTAAGGGGAAAAAGGCCTCATAATAAATACAAATATTAAATGCTACTTTAAGTCATGGTGGCATGGGTCATTTTATGTATCAACTAGGCGCTGTAGCCCAGCTGCTTGGTCAAACATCAGTCTACATGCTGCTGTGGAGGTATTTTTTTTTTTTTAAGAAGCAATTAACATGTAAATTGGCAGAGTGTGAGGAAAGCAAATTGCCCTACATGATGTGAGTGGTCCTCATCCAATCAGGTGAGGGCCTGGAGAGAAAAGACAGGTCCCCCTGCCACCAGTCTCAGGACTGCAACCTCAGCTCTTTCCTGGGGTTTTGGCCTGCTGGCCCGCCCTGCAGATTTCAGACTTGGCAGCCCCCACAATTGCATAAGCCTTGAAATAAATCTCTCTCTATACATCCTATTGATTCTACGTACATATCCTATTGCTTTCTCTGGAGAACCCTGACTAATACACACAGGTTATGAATCTTGGTTGTATCCTCATCCCACATTCATCCAACATTTCTCCCTGGAACATTAATGGCCTGGGACAACTCTTTGTTGAGCAGGACTGTCCCACTCATTGAAGGACATTAAACATCTCTGTCCCTCTCCCATTAAATACAATTAGTACCTTCCTCCCAAGCCATTACAACAACCCACACATTCCCAGACTCCCTATAGGAGACTGACTGGTACTTGTCCAGTTGAGAACCATTGATCTAGTTCAACCTGCCCATTTTATAGATGAAGAAACTGAGGTCATGAGAAAATATGATTTTTTTTTTCAATTTTAACTTGTGGCAAAACAGAAGTGAGAACCCAGATTTTTAGATTCCTAGTTCAGCACATCCCTAAGTCCCTTATAAATCATACGAAATCAGTCTAAATGTATTAATTTATACAATGAATGTATAAAATCTCTTAACATGTTATAAATGGAACATTTAGCATGTAAAATTTACAACTCTGTTTTTTATATTTTTTGGCATCTAAGGCTAGTATTCTAATCACTTACTGTTCGGTTCTCCCAGCACCCTCTCTTTGTTGGGGAATAATGCTGTACTTCTCAGGGTAGCTCATCTAGCAGCCTGGTTACATAAGTAAGAGCTTGGGTGATTCTGCCCCGGCTGGCTGCGGTTGGTTTGAATGGGCACCATGACCCGGGCTAGTCAATCAAAACCCTTCCCCGTTAATATTCAAACTACAAATGAGAAAGAGAGTCAACAGTTCCCTTTGGAAACCGTGGAAACAAAAGGATGTGATACACAAGGGTTGCTGCTGGCCGCATTCTCCACTATGAAAAAGAGGTTGGTTTGCAGTGAAAGAAAGTGAGGCGAAGACAGAGAGAGAAGCAGAAACAAGAAATAAAAACAGGGACCCTCCAGGCCTCTGGCCCTGGGTTCCAGCCATTCCTGAGACCAGGCTGCTCCCCTCCTGTCCTGGTGGTCTAGCGACTCAGCCCTTCCTTTCATTATACCAGACACCTTACGATCCTTTGAATAAGTTCCCTTGTCCTTTGGTCTAAACTAGTTTGAGTTATGTTTGTTTCACTCCCAACTGAAATAATCTTTTCTTTTACTAGAAAGTGACTTAGGCAATTTTTTTTTTTATAATGATGCTATTCAAAAAAACAGGAATAGCTACACTCGGGTTTGATGGCATAAACCGTGAGTTCCCAGCAGAGATAATTATTCTAGCTGTGCCACCAAGGGCATAACATCTTGACAGAATTAAGAGACAATGTGGCTTTAATAAGGTGGAAAAGTATAGCTGCATCATAAGTTTTACCACCATTATCAGAATCATCTATTTCTTTTTTTCAGCGCTTTGGCTTATGTTTCATTATAAAATAATCTCCTCCTTTCATTTGCCTTGATATAATTTTCTGAAATGTCATCCTCATCATTGATCTCCATCACACTGTTGGTTTTTGAGATACAGTATTTGGGGTAGCATCTCTCATTTCCTGTGCACCTACACACGCCGGATAACCGAGCAGCCTGTAGGTGGAATTTCTCAGGACACAGGTGGTAGTTAAAGGTCTTTGTATTTGGTCATGTATAAGATTGTTCCCACCCTCCAATTTCCTGTGAGTATATCTGCACCAGGACTACTGCTGCTTTTTGCAGACTAAAGCTGTCCTTGGCTGATGAGAGGAAAGAACAAATGAATAAGGAGAATGAAAACAAAGCAGCTGCCTTAACAGGAAAGAGCACTTAAAAGGCTTTTTAAAAAAAACCTACAGAATTTAGAGAAATCACTATATCTTTCCCTTTTCCCTGAATCACTGACCACTGGGGCCATGATGTAGAAACCTTGAGGGAAGGTGAGGCCATCTGTACTATGAGCTGTAAAATATGTGGGAAGAAAATGTAAGGAACAGATATTTTCTCCACACTGCTGAGATCCTGGACTTCCTCATTTCCAACTACTCCGATGTGTGGTCTTAGAAAAGTGTGTGATTCAGAAAAAAACTGGGTCCTGGCAGTTTTTTTTTCTTTTTCTGCACAAATCATGTGTAACTTTCTTTCCCCAATTTTTTCCAAGGAAATAAAATAAAACTGCGTGAAGAAATATTAAGCAGAATGCCAGGAGTCCTAAAGCTCGAAGAACTCCCTGCCAGGCTGTTTTGTGTCCGGGAAACATGGGGTCAGTTTTGTCTGTCATCCACCCGCACTGTGGCCTAAGAAGCATGAAAAATACACTAAAAATCCCCCGAAAGTGAAATTCTGTCTCAGGCCTCACGCCTCAGCCTGCCTTTTCCCCACTGTACTCTCGATTTCTCTGGTTTTCAGTGATGGCTTCTCCTGCATCCATGCTCACCACACTACCTGCATCTGCTCTCTCCTCCCCTGTGTTGGTCCATCCGAGCCCTGGCTACTCACCGAGGCCTGATGCCCCTAGCTTTGAACCAGCAGATGCCCACCCTGAGGCCAGCCACACAACCTGTCACACACCCATGTCCCAGCACTGCCAGTGAGCAGGGAAACAACCCCAATGCAACCCCCAAATTCCCATGCCCTACCCATTACGGAAGGTAGGAAATGCTTTCTCCAACTCACCTCAAACTGAAGAGAAAATTTATAGTCAGAGTCTTTGGCCATATCCTTAATGTAGGCATCAAAGTCGTCCAGTTGAACCGGGCTTTGCCAAACACAAAGAAATGTAAGTTTTAACAATCCTGTTGATAGGCATTGCATATTGCTTAGCACTGGACTTTGCAATTTTCTTTTACTTCTCAAAGGTTAGCACTCACTTTTATTTATTTATTTTTTATTTATTTTTTGGTTCAAGTTACCAGCCCCTACACAGATATCAAACTTCCTTGAGATGGGAGATATCTCTGGAATTTCAGTTGGCTCTCACTCTAGCAGTTTCATATGATACATATGAATGCTCCTATACACATGCACACACGTGTTGCTTCCAGAAAACTCCGGGATATGGAAAAGAACAGAGGATTAGATCCCAAAGACCTGTTTGAGCTGTGGTTTTATTGACTGCGTGATCCTCAAGAATTACCTGACTCTTCAGAGATTCCACGTTCTCATCTATAAAACACTGTAGCTATCCCTACCTCGCAAGATTGACATACAGTATATTAAGAATCCTGTGAGTTCAAACCGCTTTACAAGTCTAAGGAATTGTGCTGTGGGCTACAGTCTCCCCAGAGCGGGGTAGGAGGGAAGACGTGTTTGTCCAGAAAGCTCCCAGGGTCTCACTGGAGAGAGCCATATTTAGAGGCCAGAACATCTAGAAAAGCATCGAAAAGGCTCCGAGATACAATCAAGGAACACATGCGAGCTTATGTTTTTGCATCTGTAGCAGAAGTTCTCACCTATTTTGGAGGGGAGGGGATGGTGAATAAGAATGAAGTTTTATTTCCTGTAATTTTCTGCTTATCTCTTCTACAACCTACCTACACCCCTTGCTCCCTACAGCTGCGCTCTGCGCCTGCAGGGGGCCGGACCTGTCATCTAACCCACGCCTTTCCACCTGGGCAGGGGCCGTAGATATGACCCTTCCCTTAGTCTTGTGGCAGTTATTCAGCTTATATTATCATTCCGCGTGTGGTCTTATGTCCTATTAGCAAATACATAGTATTTAATAGATATTCACTTAAACTTGTTGGTTAGCTAATCTGATAGGTTCATGCATGTTAAGATTTTAGTAGATTTTAATGGGCATCATACCTCCCAGATAATACATTTAAACTCTAATGATTTTACTTGATAATAATAGCAATAATGACTCCTTCATAAAACACACTACAGTTCCTGCATATTCACATATGGGATCACGCTTGGTTGACCCCTGAGATACACATAAGCAACTCTAGCCCCATGTTCCAGGTGAGAGGGCCAAGGTGGAGAGTGAAGGGAGTGATCCAACATCACACAGCTACTACGTGGTAGAACTGTAACTAGAACCCAGGGAGAATGAGTCCCAGTTCAAAGCTTTTCCCACTTTAAACTCATTACCCTTTTCAAAACAATGACTAAAGGTGGGGCTCCTGTCCCTGAGTGAACCCCATTAGAACTGCACTCTCGGGCTGAGTGTGGATGGCTCACACTTGTAATCCTAGCACTTTGAGGGGTAAAGGCAAGAGGATTGCTTGAGTCCAGAAGTTTAAGACCAGCCTGAGCAAGAGTGAGACCCCATCTCTACAAAAAACCAGAAAAATTAGCCAGGCGTGGTAGTGCAAGTCTGTAGTCCCAGCTACTCGGGAGGCTGAGTCAAGATGATTGCTGGAGCCCAGGAGTTTGAGGTTGCAGTGAGCTATGATGTTGCCATTGCTTTCTAGCCCTAGTGACAAAGCAAGACCCTGCCTCAAAAAACAAACAAATAAACAAAAAACCACTGCATGCTCTGGCTGCAGTCTTCGAGCAGTGCATGGACCTTAGTGTTGGACTTAACAACTCTAGTTTTCATCTTGTTACAGGAAAATGGGAGGCAAATTCGGGAAAATATTTACGGGTTAGAAAAAGCAAAAGCAAGAAGCAGAGGGAAAAGAGAGATAAAGGAAGGGCCGAGAAGGAAATAGAAGAATGAGAAGGAGGAGAATGGGAAGAAGGAGGATGACAGGGAGGAGAGCAACAAAGCTGGGAGGGAGAGAGACCAGCAGGACGAGACCTACAGGGAGAGGGGGAAGGAGAAGTGGAGGACAGGAGTGACAGCATGAGGAAGACAGTGGTGCTAGGAGCGGCGAGTTAGGGACTTGGTGGTGGGACATGTGGAATGGTGAAGAGAAGGCAAAGAGAAAAGTGAGGGGAAAGTCTCTCAAATAATGGCTTCTAGAGAAGGAAACAGTATTCAACGAGAAGAGGGAAGGAGGAAGCTGGTTTGATGTGAAGTTTTTTGGCTTATATGTTGGTTCTACCATTACTAAACTCTACCAAATCTTTTGTCCTGGTCTTACTTCTCCTTCTCATCTTTGCCTGGGTCTTGGAAGGAGCAACCACTGATCGAGTCTCTCCTTTCTGTTCCAACACCCTACCCTCTCGGTGCTCTGGTCTACACCTCTCTAGCTCACTTACCAACCCAACAATAATTTTGGGTAACAAAATGTTCCTGTTTCTGTCAAATCATCTCTTCCAGGTGACAGGACCTGGTCGCTATTTAGTCTCATCTTGCCTTCCCTACATCAGTTGGCGTATGCAAGCTGAATGCATACTTGTTTGAAATTGACTTTAGAAAGATTATTCTGTATTCACATGTGCCTTAAAATTATATGCTGTTCAAAGCTAACTGGAAATATTTTTTTTTACATTGACTTTTTTTTTGATTTTATCATGGTTTACTCATGATTTTTTTTCCATTAGTATGAATATCATAGAGCTGGCTGGACACCCTGGTTGCCTCCTTGGACTAATTTACCAATGTTCTATCCTGGGCAAGTATCAAGAACAAACTCCATTTAAAGGAATGTTCCACTCTTCGTATGTAGAGCTTTAACCGTGAAAAGGTCTGGAGGTGATAATCTAATAGCCTTTTAAAATCGACTGATAGTTAATTTTTGCTCAATAGAATCATAATTCTTCTGATTTAACAGTTTAGTAGATAAATAAAGCCATAGGCTAGCCACAATAACTATCTTTTATATTTATTATAAAGGTTTCCCAAGACAGCATTAGCAAAGTATTTATTATAAGATCAAATAGAGTAAAAGCCTGTCTTTGCAATAAACACAGAATTTTGAAATACTAAAAGGGTTTTTGAAACCCTTTTATGTGGCTAAATATTAGATTTTCATCTACCGTATTTAGAATACCATACTTTCTCCTGTAAGACTTTTAGAATTCCTGACTGCTCATTCTTTCTTAGATTTCATATGGGAAGAATTATCCTTATTCCTGAAACGGTTTCTGTGATATATGTGTAAACACACCAACATGCATGTGCTTAGCTGTCATAATATAATTTGCTCCTTTCTTAAGCATCCCTTCTATTTGAAGAGAAGCAGTCTTTTTTGATTTGGAAAGTTAAGATCATTTTGACAAACATCTTTTAAAACGAAATAGTAAGAAAAACTTACTTCGTCAGTTTCCTCTTCTTTAAACCATTTTTGCTCCTGAGAATTAAAAAAAAAGAAAAACCACAAATTTATCTGGGTAAAAAATTGATTAACATAATAATTAAACTAGAAGAACTTTAAATAATTGCATCAGGCACCTCAATTTTATTTAATTTTCATTAAACACATCTCAGGTTTGTTTAATTACTTTTCCATAAATGAGAAGATAATGATAATAATTTCAGACTCATTTTTTTAAAACTCTATTAGATTGCAGGAACATATTTGCACTTTATATTTCACGCTTGCTAAAAACTGAGTTCTAGAAATAGAATTTCTAGCTACTGGTGATTAACTTGTTAAGGCAGTTTGTATATATAGAAGCAATTACCACCTGAAAACTCCAGGTTCTACAGGCAGGAAGGAAGAATTGAGGAATAAAAGGGACAACGATGAGAGGGTAGAATGTCAGTTTCTTAATTAAAGGAGAAAATAGACTTTTCTAATATTTTCTTTGGGAATGTAAATTTGTGCCATCAATGTGGACATGTATCATACGTAATTCTACTATGGCATTGTTCTTGTTCAATTTTGAATTAGTTTTTAAGCTATCTGAAGAATTGGACCTATTACATGCTTGTTCTTAATTTATTTCTAGTCTGTAAGCTCAAGCACAGGAAATTCTAATGATGCTTTGGTTGATCATATTTCTTTACCGGGTCTTTAGAGTAATGGTTTTCATCCAACAAGTAAGATAACTCACCTAAGTTAGCTACTGCTGAGATAGTATCTGTAGAAGCACACTGTTATTGTATTCATACTGTCTCATATAAACAATGACTATTGAAACATGATTGAGCACGTGAGTGACATGATACTAACCATTTTTATATAAGTAATTTTCCAAGGTCTTTGCCTATTTCTGATGGAAGCACCCACGTTTTCAGAAAATAAACAGTCTGTATGGTAAATAACCAGTTGTGATCTTAGAATTTTCATGTACCAAAATATTTATTTATATTCATTTATATTTAAAACGGTGAATATACACTTGTACGCCTCCACTCCTTCAAAGCGTTAGCACAATGAAGCACTACATTTTCTGAACACTTCGCAAAGGGAGTATTTCTCATGCTGTGTGAGAAATATCCACCCCTGGCTGGAAGTGACAGTGCTCGACTGTCACTAACCCCCAGGGCTGAGCCCAGTTAATGAAACACATCTCGGGTGGGCAGTAAATGCTTATTTAATTGAATTGGAACAAAACATCTTTGCCATGTTACCTCACAATTTCAGTTACTGATTCATTTAAAAATTTGGTACTAGACTTGGGCTTGTGAGATCCGGCCGGGCAAATGAGACTTGTGGACGGGACAGTAACGCAGGTCAGTACACGGGGGAAAACGTCCACAAAGGCAAGTGGTGTTGGTGGTTCTCAGGTAGTTTTTATTTCTTCCTGATTCTAAGGAAAGACAATCCTTTCAACAGTTCTTGTCTTATTTTGCTTCTCCCTCATCCTCTTTGTCTCCTGTGCTTGGGATTTAGAGGGAATAAACATTCCAGTTTTTATTTGGCCTCTTCCTCATTCCCTCAGAAACATACTGTCATGGTGGACATGGCTGTTTCATATAGGCCTCTGGGAACCTAAAGAAATATCTATCAATCATTTTCTCTTCAGCTCCTGTGAGGGGAACTTAGTCGGCTTCCGGGATCCCACGTTTACTCTGTGTAGTGAGAGCCAAGTACTTCAGAGCTTCAGGACAGGAGAATGTCAGCAGAGACAGCTCACAGCGCTGGCTAAGCCAGGAGGCTGCCAACACAGAAAATGCTTTCCTGTCCAAACAGGCTTTAAAGGAAACGAGGAAGAAACAAACGTATGTGAGAGGGTGACACTGAATAAATTCAGTGCTGAAATATTAAGCTGCTACTACTCAACAGCTGTGTAGAAAGCTGATTCGTGCTGGAGAGATACATTCTTTTCCTCTTTCCGTCTCATTCATTATTGAATGAACTTTCAACATAATGTAAGATTCTAGCATGTGTTTTGCACAAAGTATTGTCACACTCTGACTGCTCTAAGTGTGTGTCTTCGTGATTTGTGTGCAACGTTCACTGTTCTGTTGAGATTCTGTTGACTCCGAAGAAGAGTTCCTGAATCCTGAGAACGTGGAACAGGACAGGAGTGAATTATCAGACTCACAGCAACATGGATAGAATTTTCCTACATTTTTAATTGCTGTGCTAATTCTAAGGAAAGGGGAAAGTTTATTTAAGTGAAGCCTTTGCTAGCAATTTTCACTTCAGCACATTACGGAAAGAGCTGGCATGTTTGCATGTTACCGTGAACATTTTGGGTGACGTTAGGGTATCACCTTTTCATTGCAAAAGATTTTCCAAATAACCCATAAATAATACCCATCAGATATACAGTATATAAGCATATGGGATGATGTACTTTTTTAAAGTTTTTTTTTCTTTTTCTATTATATTAGGTAAGGTTCAAAATCTTAATGACTTCAAGAAGTTAGGATGCATTTTTTGGTAAGTTCTTCATGGCTGTGACAGTCTTGGAAAGCCAGCCACGCTGGATTCATTCCAAAGAAGAGTATGAGGCAATGGCAAAGGCATGGGATTTATAACAATTAAAACAAAACAAAACAAAACAAAACGACTCTAATAGCTCTCCACAAGTGTTGCTTTCTCTTTGACGAGCTAAACAGAAACATCTCCAAATCTTAAAAAGGTCTGTAGGGTTATACCATTCTTCACATAGAACATGCAATAACCATGAGTAAAGCTGAGCATTTTACGCACATGTTGCTTCATGCTTAAAATGCCAACTATTTAGGATTTAGAACAGGCAGATGAATACCTGAGAACAACATGAGAATGGTTACGGTAGCAAAAAAATAAATAAATAACAATAACACTGAGTCTAGATAAAGCTATTTCAAATAAGATGATTTCTTTCAATAGGAAACATATTCTGAGACCATTAAAGTCAGAAATCCTTGCAGAACACAATCCTGACACTAACCTAACTGGACACTGGTGCTCCACACTCATTCTGCTACCACTCCGGGAAAAGATTCGAGGAACACTATGGGAGGGAGAAAGAGCCTCTGGATTTCCATACAAACCACTGGCAGCATCAGGAGGGTTTTAGAAAATGAATAGGAGCATATCTTTCCAAGAAATCAACAGTTTAGAGAGAAGTTGGGCAGTGCGTTAGGAAATGCATGTGTGTTGGGGGCCAAGAAGGGCTGTTACTTGTGGCTGTTGATAACAGGGTAGGTGAAATATGAAGACAACACATCTGAAGGAGGATTAAAAATGACTTATTTAGCAAATGAAAGCAGGAGAAAATATCCATGAGTTATTAGGTGAGGTGAACAGTAGGAAATGTGAGCAGGCGTGTGGGTATGAGCCGTCCTTGACCGAGCAGGGCCATGAATTTGACTTCTTCTATGTCTGGCATTGCACAAGCCCAGGGCTGAGAACACAGTTTATGTCCAGTATGTTTTCACTGGTTGAGATGTGTGACATTTACTAAAAGTGGCAGAAAGTGTGGGGATCTCTGCTTTGCCTTCTTTTCTCACCTGTAGAGAACCATTTACAGTCTCATGATGATGATTCTTCTAAAAACCACTGAAGGTTCCCCCCCCTCCCCCAACTTGGGCCTGGTGCTATTTGGTCACTATTATAAGTGGGAGTTGAAGGCGTTGCCGAAATTTGAAGACACATTGATCGGTGGGACCTGTTACGAAAGACATGCAAACAAGCACAGGCCTACCTGATAGAAACTTAAAACTGAACTGTGGAAAATGAGACAGTCTGAGAGAATTAAGCAGGAAAGAAATATCACATTATTATATGTATCTTTCTTTCATTTTAATTGAAATCTGAGGAGGGTACTTTAAGGGCATTTGCTACAAGTATTTTAGTGATGCGTAAGATACTTGAGGAAGATTGGTAGATGTTGAGTTAAAATTAGAAGTATATTTTGAAGGTCAAAATGGAATTCATGTGTGCTACTCATACCTGGAAACTATGGGATGTTAAATACTATAAATACAGAGTTGACTGTGATGAAGCCCTATACTGAAAACTGCAATAATAACAAACTTAGATAGAGTAATAGTGCATGGGTCCTTATTAGCCAGTACATTCCTCTCTGACTTTCTTTCTTTCTTTTTTGGAGACAGGATCTTGCTCTGTCGCCCCTGCTGGAATGCAGTGGAATCATCACAGCTCACTGCAACCCCAAACTCCTGCTTGCTTAAGGGATTCTCCTGCCTCAGCCTCCTGAGTAGCTGGAACTACAGGTGTGCGCCACCAGGCCTGGCTAATTTTTTCTATTTTTGGTAGAGACAGGAGTCTCACTCTTGCTCAGGCTGGTCTTGAACTCCTGAGCTCAGGAGATCCTCCTACCTCTGCCTCCCAGGTGCTGGGATTACACCATGAGCTACCGCCTGGCCGATTTCTTATACATCTTTGCGTACTTTGTTTTAAAAAAAATTTCCTCTACTCTTTTTTTTTTTTAAATATAAATTCTGGTATTAATCTCTATTATGAGGAAGTCCTGTTTTATATTTCTTCCACTGCAACTTGAAATCCTAAATTCTGCCAGTTGTATTTCTTCCGTCCTCAGAGGAGCTGAAGAATATTTTTGATCAACTGTCTTTTTGAATACATAACTCTCCAGATTGATTTTCATCATTTTTTTCCCTCCAATGGGCCATTTTTTCCAGTCCATGAGATATTTTTATTGCTTTCTTCTGAGTCCTTCTCAAGTTGTCCACATTTCTGGATCTGTCTGTAAATAATTAGTACCTAAATACGATGTATTAATACTAATGACAATGAATTTTGGTCAGTTCCATGGGAAATTGCTACCTCGTTTCTCACAACTCAGGAAAAGAAGGTTCTCCATTCTTTAGTCTTAGAATTCAAGGTTGTTATTATTATTATTATTACTATATACTTAAAAAAACCAAAAAAGATACTTTTCAAGATTTGACTATTGAAATGATTTAGAATTTGAGAAAACAAGAAACCATAGAAGACCGCTTTTTATAGAGGAAATAATAGATTTCAGAGAGACCTGAGTTTGGAACCTGGATTTCCTATATAGTAGTATAGATATTAAGATAATCTCAAGACTGTATTTCAAGTCTAAAATGAGACTAATAATACTCTTTGCAGGATTGGGGGGGAGAATTCCATAAGATAATTATACAAAGATGCTTGTACATAGTCAGCTGTTCAATATTCATTGAGTTAACATTATTATAAAAACTGTGTATTATTATCAAATACAGAGTACTGTATAGACTGGGTTCTCAACGGTGATGCATTTATACCTTCTTGGAAATATAGCGCTTTCTAGTGGATGGAGATGGCAAAGAAAATGGAAAGAGTCATTTAAAAGATGAGAGGCCAATGAATTGACTTAATGAAGAAACAAATGACTTATAATAAATGGAAGAAAACGTTGCCTAGAACATCATAAGAAGAAAATTTAATTGAGAAAACATTATAGTTAACATCTTAGTACCATTAACTGCTTCAATTCGCTTCAATACATGATTAACAATTTTAGATGCTGCCAAACATATAAACTAATTAAGAAGAAATTTTCCTTTTAGTTTATTTCTTGAAAGCTGACTTTTAAAGACTTTGTGTTAGATAAACAGTAAAAAATAATCACTTACCAAGGATTAATATAAAATGCCAAAAGATAATCAGTCCAAAGACATGAGGGTAGCAGGGTTAAGAAAGCAAATATACTCCTACGCCTGTGAGCATTAATAGATAACAGATGTAAAGATGAAAAAGTGGCAAGAGTTAGTAATATAAACTGTGAACAGATATCAGTAATTACCTTCCAGGATCAATTAATATGACAAGCACCTTAATTACAACTAAGTATTATTCCATTCTGTGAAATTTAAATGTGAAGGCTTAAGTGCTATAATGTTGACAGAATCAGTTTTTATTCACACACGAACTTATTGTAATCAGATATATTTCTTTCAACTTAGTTGTGTCAATTAGTCTGCTATTAGATGATTACATTTTGCATTCAGTTAAATGAGGCTCTTAAATGCCTCATTAGTTACCTCAAGTCTTATTCTTGGATATCATTCTTCCAATGTTTAAGTCTATTTTAAGAAACGTCTATGACATCATTTGATAGCTAAACAGCAGCATGTGTAAGAAAATATAAAGGGTCGGTTTACATATACTGATTCTGGTGAAGACTAAACTTTTAAAACACATTCTTTTAAAGTTGCACTCCTAGGTGTGACTTTGTATATTATTTTTAATTACTACATAATTTCTAAAACTGACCCTCACAACAGAAGTATGGTATAATACTCAGGTATCATTCATTCAAGATTAGTGGCTCATCAACTGCTTAGTATGCAGTCTCACTGATACTCAGCTAAGCTGGAGCAAAATTATTTGGTTTCACTTTAATTCTAATTCAGACTGTTGATTTAAAATGCTTGGTTTGAATCCAATTTCAGATATTCAAACCATTTGTCAAATAGAACATCCATTAATACAGATCTAAAAATATCTTGTGGCTGCATCTGTGGTTATTCTGAGAATTAGGGGAAAAAAATACTGTCACCGTGTCACTTCAGTTACTACAAGTCCTCACGGAGATATCTATTCTCCGTCATCCAGAAAATGCTAGAGTTGGCAAAATTGTCTTTGCCAAAAGCTGTAGGAGAATTTGCTTGATTTTATAGAAGGATCCTGAAGTGAATCTTCTTTTGCCTCACTTCTTCCAGAAATGGTCTCCCATAAATCCTATAAATCATGTCTGGCTGTGAAGTTAGTTAACCCAGAGCTCTCATGAGTCACAAGTGCTTATAATCAGATCAGTTGCTAGTTGGGCCCCTCATCACTGCTCCAGAACTGGACTTTTTTAAGGGTGTACCAGGTAAGAAACACATATCAATGAGTTAGTCTCTTAATTTTAGAAAGAGTGCTAGTATATTTGAATAAACCTAATAATGTTTCGTATCTTTTCAGCAATCAAGAGTTTATGAGTTTCTCTTTCTTCACTTTGGATTAATTGCCTTTTAGTAGTAAAATTTAAGATTCCATTTTAGGGGATTAGAAAACAGAAAAAAAAAAACACAGAAAACAAATCGCCTACCAAAGATTAATATGAAATGTATACATTTAAATGTACTATTCATGGTTGCTTGTGAAAGAAACAAACTAGATCATGTAAGTGGTGCTAGCTTCATGTTAAATGTTTCCTTAATTAGTCACTTTTTTGAGTATTGACTGAGCTGGATAGGATTGCTTATTCTTGTGTATCACTGTTAGGAATAATGTCAACCAATTTAATCTCTTGACAATGTTTTTTTTTTTTAAATTCCCCTAACACCTCCTCCCTCTAGGTCCTTACTACTGAGGCATAAAGAAAAATAAGGCCATGTTTTCCTCCCTGGCTTATGAGAGCTGAGAGCTCCAGGCTATGTATACTTCTACCTAATTTTTGAACAGAAGTGGTGGCTCCTATCCCAAATACTGAAATGTGAATTTCAAATGGAGATGCTGCCCTGTCCCACACACTCGTTGGAGTCTCTCTTTGTGCCTTTAGCCACCACTTGCTCAGTGTGGCTACTGCATTTAAGCCCTTCTTCAGCACAGTAACAGGCTCCTTGCATGACTGCTTTGGTTCTTGTTTAATATAGCAAATACAGAGCAGACTACGACACTTTCTCTGCTTCAGAATTAAGCTTATTATAAACCATTATATTCTGTCAAGATCTACCCACAGAAAATCTACTGGTGCTGAAATTATGAAAGGATAATCAGACAAAAACCATTTATCCCCCAAAGATAGGAAAGTTAAATTTGGAGCACACATAGCATAACTAAGCCATCCATTAAAAGGCTTGTTCCAAAACAATACTCACCAGTTGTATGGAAGCTTCCCATCCCTCTCTAAGGATGCAAAATTGACAAAAGTACCTGCTCCGCACTCCCTGTTTGAAAGGAAGCACAAAATCAAGGTTGCTGATTGACAGAGCACTTTTTGCCTTGACATAAAGTAAAGAGAATCTTTACTGGCTTATCATACAGTATTTAAATTTTTTCAGCATATTATGGGGATACAAATGTTTACGTTACGTATGTAACGTATGTACGTTGCCCCACCCAAGTCAGAGTTTCAAGTATGTCCATCCCCTAGACGGTGCACACCACGCCCATTAACTGTGTATATATCCATCCATTTAAATTTTTTAAAAAGCTAACATTAATACAAGTCCTATATGTTCCTCTTTAGTATACAGTGCAAGCCAAAATGATAAAAAAAAAAAACAAAACTGAAACAATCTTGTGCAAGGTTGCAAATCAAGTTACTCGAGGCCAAAAGGATTCATTGCACAATCCTTTCCAAAGGGCATGCATGATCCTAAAATAAATCTTTGAACTATGAGGGATATAATATTTTTTACAAAGCCTTCAACAGTAAGATATGGAAACTCTCCTCGATAAACAGAATTTTCCATTTTTAGCAAAATTTCTTTGTGGGATTTTGTTTCATAGCATTTCGATTTTCTCTCTATGACAGTGGGTTAAGTTATATTGTTTACTTCCTCCCAAATCTTTCTCTCATATTTTGAGGCCCATATTATTCATTATTTGAGATAAAAGAGTGGTATGTATTAAGATAGGTTGGTTTCTGCCATGCTTTTTATCCACAATGTTGCCTATTAATTAGTAAAAACACTGTTGAAGTTCTATTTTTTCCAGTAGAGAATATGATTACCATATTCTCATTTCTCTGCCTTCTGACTATTAGCATGCATAAATAACATAGCTCATTGGGACTCACACATTTCATTTTTTTCTCTATATGAAATTGATGGATGTATTCAGAATTGAAGCAGAGTTTGACATTTTTGACATAATGTGCTAATTACTTCAGTTATATGCCTGTTCTTATTAGGGTATTCTAAGTTTCTTCTTTTGAAATATATACTAATATATTATTATATCATATTGTATTAAAAAATTACATCATCAATGAATTTTCCTACTTTAATTTCCTATATATAGGACTTTATTTACCCTCTAATGCAGGTTTTTTTTTTTAAATACACATCTCACAGGTAGACAATGCAGGGGTTTATAATTTGGGAACAAAAGATGAAATTTAGGGCTGTGTGAACATGTGAGTAAAAAGTACATCTTTATTTTCACAACCTGTAACTAAATTTACAGTTCCTCCTATTATTAACCCTTTGCACTTGCTTGCTTTTTTCTTGATTCCTTTATTCTACTCTGGATTTAATTTTTTAAATACCCCAGATTTTACAAAGTGCAGCAGTAGAATAAAAAACTGGAGTTTCTTTTCATACAAACTTATTTATTTGGATTTTTTTATATTCCAAATTATTGATACATTCAAAGAGTAATTTAAATCTCTATAATTTTTCATGGTGTGATATTTTTTGAAACATTCACCCACATGAAGACCTGGTTTACATTCACATGTTTCGCAAATATAAATCGTCTCTCTTCTTCCTCCTTTGATTTTTCTGTTAGAACAAACAGCACAATCTTTGCATTTTTTGTTAGGGTGAGGTGTGATTATATGGAGCTTTCCATGTAAACATTGCTCTAAGTTAGCGGATAATAATCTACCCCTGGAAGTTAGTGTACCATCTCTGCATTTACATTTTACTCGTCCTTTCATGCTAATGAAAACAAGAAAAGATACTGGAAAAATAGAAAAAAATCCCCCTTCCCTCCCGTGCTGAAACTACATGTCGAGTGTGGCTCAACATACGAGGTGCTACTGATGCTAACCGTGTCGAGTCACACTTGACATCCGAGTGCAAAGGGTTAAAACAGGAACAAACCACCATAATATCTGTACTTGTAATTTGATAACAGCGGATATTACAGATATTTATATATAATAGATTTGCTGCAGATAGCCTGAAATATTGTTCATGTTCATCATTATGATGAAATCATGAGAGTTATTATACACCCTACTAAATATTGATCTTTAATATATTAATAAAGAAGCATATAAGGTGTTTGCTTTTTAAATATTATGGTTACCATATTGCAATATAATTGTATAATCCTATGTATTTTATTTTATGTACTTAAAAAGAAAGCATTGTTCTTAGAAGGGATCTACAGGCTTCGCCAGACTGCCCAAGAGGATCATAGCCCCCAAAATGTAAATCTATGTTTGAATGGCTAGCTGGATAAATTAGAACCCCACACCCTGCTAAATATCTGCTGTGTGCACCACAAAAAAAGGCTCATAATTACCTTATTTCCATTACTACATCCATTACCACTCTATCCACTATTACTATCATGAGCTGACATTTATCACATACTTCCTATGAGTTGAGTATTATACCATGTTAGCACTGCATTAATGCAGTTAACTATCCACTAATGTAGGGGCTGTTACTATCTCTTCTTATTTTATTTTATTTTCTGAGAAAGGGTCTTGCTCTGTCACTCCCACTAGATAGAGTGCTGTGGCAGCATCAAAGCTCACAGCAACCTCAAATTCCTAGGCTCAGGTGATCCTCCTGCCTCAGTGTCCCGAGTAGCTGGGACTACAGATATGCACCACCACACTCAGCTAATGTTTATATGTGTATCTATCTATCTATCTATCTATCTATCTATCTATCTATATATGTGTATATATTTATTTATTTTTGTAGAGATGGGGTCTCACTCTTGCTTAGGTGGGCCTCAAGCAATCCTCCCACCTTGGCCTCCCAAAGTGCTAGGATTATAGGAGTGAGCCACTGTGGCCAACCTATCATCTCTTCTTGGTACATATTCTTTCCCTGGCTTCCTGGCCACCATCCTCTCTTAGTTTTCCTTCTTACTCCACCGGCTGCCTCTTCTCAGTCTCTTCATGTTATTTTCTTTTCTCCCTGAAAATCTTAATAGGGGATTATTGCAGTGCTTAATCCAGGGACCTCTTCTCTTACGTTTACTCCTTGAATGTCACCCAGTCTGTAGCTTTAATACAATTGATTATATATGCAAGTAACTCTCACATTTATATCTTCAGCCAGGACTTCTCCCCAAACACTGGACTTTTATGTTCGGTTTCTTACTCCACATCTGCACTTGCCAGTCATCTCAGACTTAACCTTTCCCAACCTGAAGACTCGATGCTCCCCCAACTCTGAAATCTTTCCACTTGATGGTAACTATGTCATTTCCATTGCTGGGGCCAAAAATGATGATCTGGAATCATCCTTGACTCCTTTATTCATTTCCAGTCCACATCCAATTTGTTAGCAAATCCTACTGCCCTTATTTTGGAAATACATCCAGAATCTGATGGTTTCTCCCTGGTTTCACTGCTACCGTGTTTCCCCGAAAATAAGACTTACCCATAAAATAAGACCAAGCAGGATTGATCTCTAAGCATTTGGGCAATATAAGCCCTACCCCGAAAATAAGACCTAGTGATGGGCCTGGCTACACAGCATATCTGCACAACTCATGCGTTTTGTTGCGGAGCGGTAAAGAAGATGAGCAGCCCTTCTCATCTGCCCCATGAGAGCTCTATTGCTCGACATGAGAGACTGGGGCCAATGGTTCTAAAGGAAATAGAGTCGCAAGAAATTCAGGATGGAATTCATGGTTTGGAGAGTTCTGATGATGTTCCAGAAGAAGACGACTTAACTATATTTGAATAAATGTAGATTGTTGTATCGTACTTAAAAAAAATAACACATCCCCTGAAAATAAGCCCTAGGGTGTCTTCTTGAGGAAAAATAAATATAAGACCCTGTCTTATTTTGAGGGAAACACAGTACTACTTTGGACTGAGCACAGCCACCTCATGCCTGGATCACTGTCACAGGTCCCCGAGGTGAGGTGCTTGCTTTTGTCCTTGCGTGTTTCCTGCATAAAAGTCAGAATGAAAGTGTTAAAATACGAATCAGATGGTGTTAATCTTCTGCCCCAAGCCTGGCAATGGTTGCCCGTTTTTACTCAGAGTAAAATCCAACGTCCTTCTAATGGCTTCTGAAGCCCTTGATCTGGCCATCCCCTGCTGTTCTTTCTTTCCTTTGCTTTATTCATACCAATCTCTCAGCTATGCTTGAACATGCAGTCCTGCTCCTGCCCAAAGGCTGTTCTCACTCCTGGGATGACACTCTTCCTGCAGATAACACGTGGCTGCCTCCCCTATGTACTTCAAGTCTTTGTGCAAATGTCACCTTCTCAGTGAAACTCACCCACCTCCCGGGGCTTCTCTGTTCATATTGGTTCTGCTCATCTCCCTTAATCAGCTGAACAATTTTTTACATGGCCTGCTAACATACCATGCGATCTCTTTCCATATACATTTATTATTTTCTCTCTTCTCCACTAGAGTACAAGCTCCATGAAGGCGTATATTTTTCTGTGTTTCATATACTGCCATATCCCAAGCACCTAAAGGAGTCTGACTCACAGCAGGTGTGGTGTCAACATTTGTTAAATGAATGAATGAAGCTTCAGGGAACTGCACAAGCTCACACAGGTTGTAAGTCAAGATTTAATCTCAAGTAGTATAATGTCAGAGCTCTCTACTCTAGCCACAGTGCAATACCACCTCCCTATGCTTCTAAGATGTATCCAAATGCCAACCCCCAATAAGCTGATTTGCACATGCAAAATTAATCTTTTATCTCCACTTTCATGGCATCCTATTTTTATCTCCTTTATGTCACAGGGTCAGCATATGCCTTTAAATATATCTAGTCATGTACATATCTCCAGCTAGGTTGAAAGTGCCAGTGAACAGCTCTGATGTCATATTTTTCTTTGGATATGCCATCTAAGGCACTGATTAAATTGTTATTGGCTGGATAAATTTATTTATAAATATGCAAGTGATAGAACCCTGAAAAAGGAGAAGCGATGTTGATTTACAATTTGGTAGGCTAGCATCAGGAAGATATAAATATGAACCAAATTTCCCAAACCCAGTAGTATTCAAATAGGCAGCAGTTTCTTAAGGGAACTGATAAATTGTTCTGAAAATATACCACAGAAAGTACTTGAGAATGTGTTCTGATGAGCAATGTATCAGGGGTAAAAGGAATAGTGAAGCACTTAAATCATGAATCAAAAGGCTTTTCTAACTACGAGGAAAATTAAGTTGCCTGCAACTCTGAGTAATATGAACTAAAGTAATAGGGGATCTAATGGACATAATCATAAACTCAACAAATTTTTTTTTAGAAAACAGCTTAAAGAGACTAATGAGAGGATTTCCCACCTCCCCCCGTTCTTTCTTGTGGTCTTCATTTTTGTTAAATCCTTTTGTTAATCAGACTGAACAGGCATAGATATTTATTTGATTACAAGTAGGCCTGAAAGTTCTCCAATGTGGTGGATCTCTCTCTATGTATGGGCTACTTAAATTGCCAAGATTGGTAGCAAGAGGTTTGGCTTTGTGTAAACAAGCAATCCTTTGCTTTACCATTTCGATGGTAATATTTTCTAAAATAATGCTTAAAAGTCTATTTGGAAAATACACAAAACAGAAATAGATACAAAAAGCTGAAATTAAATTCACCATTATACAACTTAGGCCTGCAAAAACCGTACATGCGTGACAAGTAAGACTATTTTAAAGATTGTGGATAAAATATCAACAAAACTCAACTTACCTAGCCATCTGCAGATGCTTTTTCCTGAGAATAATGAGAGTAACAAGCAGCAGTCCAATTAAGAGTGTGCTCAGGATGGCCAGCACAGATATCACTACCACATTGGGATTCATCTCTGTAACTAAAGAGATAAGGCACACATTTCATTATAGGTTCTGTTTACATGGTAACTAACAGGATCATTCATTGCTTTTCATTTAATCTTAAGAGCAGTGAATTTATGATGATATCAATATGAATAACAACCATGTTTCCCCTAGCCAACAACGACCTCTTCCTGGTCAACTATAACTTTATAAACTAGGCTGATAAATGGTATTCAGGTATCTATAAGAATTGAGTCCATTTCAAAGGTCTACAAAATTAGGGATGTTCTTATACAGAGAAGCTGAGGAATGAAGAATACCTGTGCCATAATTTAAATCCATTTGAAAATTACAAATATAGATGTCATTATCCTGTATTACCAGTATTTAATATTTTCAAAAGCTTTTAGAGGGTGGCAGGTTCTTATTTTATGCCCATGACTTTAAAGTCAGAAAGCACAATTGTATACTTTGCTCACGACTAATAATGTATATGAAAAAGACATTAGCAAGCTACCATCTGCTGCAGCACTTAACACATTACTAGGAGCAGGCATTCTGATGATCTGAAGCCATATGTTAGATGTTTTCCATCTGCACAACTCAAGAGATTAAACCTATTAATAGGCTGTAGAGCCCTTAAGAACAAGGGTCGTGTCCTTTTTGCAAAGGTCATATAATAACTGGTCTAGCATGGCACTTATGCATTACCCATTTCTTCACACTACATAGAAGACCAGGATATCAAAGGCAGGAAAATATATTAAATATTTTTTAAAAACTCTTCAAAGTGGGCCAGAGGAGACTCATGCCATTTTTTGCATTCATTATAAAATTGGAGAACTGCCTGGTACATGTGATCCCTAAGATTTTAACTATTTGCCACTTCCTATTTGGGCCAGCTTGGCTCCAGTTTATGGGCAGAGTGCTTGGACAGAAAGAACAATAGACTCATGGCCAGAAGAGCTTATTCAAGTTCACTTGACTGCTAACTGTCACTTGGGGGAAGCCATTTTATCTACCCGATGGGCCTCATTTTCCTTATTGGCAAATTTGATACTATCACCTGTTCCACCGGTTGCTATGGAGATAACAAGGAATGATAGATGTTAAAGTACAGTTGACACTTGAACTACATGCTTTGAACTGTGCAGGTCCACACACATGTAGATGTTCTTCTGCCTCTGCTACCACTGAGACGGCAGGACCAAGCCCTCATCTTCCTCCTCCTTCTCAGCTTACTCAACGTGAAGATGATGAGGATAAAGATCTTTATGATGATCCACTTCCACTGAATGAATAGTAAATATATTTTCTCTTCCTTATGATTTTCTTAATAGCATTTTCTTTTCTCTGGCTTACTTTATTGTAAGAAAGCAGTATATCATACATATAATATACATTATATCTATTGAATGACGATTTATGTTATTGGTCAAGCTTCCAGTCAACAGTAGGCTATCAGTAGTTAAGTTTTGGGAGAGTCAAAAATTATATGTGGATTTTTGATGGCAATAGGAGTCAGCACCCTAACCCCCTCATTGTTCCAGTGTCAACTATATACTTAAAAAGTATAAAAGGATATAGAAATGAGAGATGATTAAAATAGGTCCATTTTTGTCCTCTTTTTTGAAAAAACAAAAATTAAAAACAGAAAACCAAAATAAAAAAATAAAAAAAAGTCCATTCTAGTCTTCACTGAATTTGTCAGCTAATATGACTAATATTACAAAAATGAAGAGGAACCCAGTAAAGGGGTAATGTGATAGTAAGAATGACCTTACAGGGGGATCTTCATAGGGGATCTCAGAATGCAGAATCAGACTCTAACAAACTACATGTGACACATATAATGGAACTCAGAAAAAGAATAAGGAAACAAATATCATCATTCCAGACCTTTCACTAATTTCTGATGTTCCCACTTGTACTTTCTGCTGGAATGGAAACTTCTTGTTTTGACCCAGTAATCTAGTATTGCCACTATTTTATCAGTGGCAATGAAGGCAAAGGCTAGAATAGATGAAACTGAATTGATGCGGGTACTGTGCGTAGTACTGAAGATGAGGGTGATGGCAATGATGAAGTTGATGAAAGCAACTAGCCTTTAGACAGCATATGCCAGGGCTTAATGTATTTTATTTCTAAGCTTCAAAAAAACATTAAAAGGTATATATTATTATTCCAATTTTCCAGATTGGAAAAAAAGAAAAACAAAGACCCAGAGACAGTAAATGTCATTCTCTAAGTCACATAGCCAGTAAGTACACTATGGGATTGAAACGAAGGTCTCCCGTACCCCAAAGCTTGGGATTTTCCAATGGAACATTGGTTCCATTAAAATGATAGATTATATATATTTAAAAAGAAAAAGTAGGAAAATATGCACGGATGTGTAGAATTACCCATTGTCGAGACGGCTATGAACGTGGGAACGCTGGGGCTGTCATGGCTAAAGCTGGTGACGCTGCAGTTGTAGGCAGTGGCAGGAAGGAGACTGGAGATGGTCACAACATGAGAAGAAACAGCAATCGGTTCCTGGAGATGCAGAAAATAAGATATTTTGTGTTACTATCATCTATTTTTTTTAATAATTATTTTTCATAGCTGAGTAGGTAATATATGGAAAGAATAAAAAATTTAAAAGATGAAAAAGGATAGCAGTGAGAAATGTTTCCTTCTTTCCCTGCTCTCCATCTACCCAATCCCTTCCATGGGAGCAGCCACTGTTGTCAGGTATTTTTTTTCTGCCCATATATATTTCATGGCTATATAAACCTATAGGACATAGTTAAAAAACATATGTGATGCTGTAGTTTACACATTGTTCTGCTTATTTTTCACTTTAGTTATCAGTATCTTTTAGTGCTCTTTCCATATTGGTACAGATTAAACTATTTTATTCTTTTTAAAGGCTGTAGTGAAATTCATTGAAAGGACATAGAGTAATTTATTATCTAACCAGGTCCCTATTATTGAACATTTAAGTGATCTCTGATATTTTTGCTATTGCAAACAATGCTACAGTGAGCATCATTCCACAAATAGTGGAGCATATGTATATGTACACACACTCATTTAATATATGTATGTATGTATGTATGTGTGTATATACATATACACACACGCACACACACAAAACCTGTGTGTATATATACACACTCATATATTCCATGCTAGGGTCAAATCTCTTGAATTGCTGGGTCAAAAAGTACACATTTTTAATTTTGAAAGCTATTAAAAAATAGTCCTTCAGAGACATTTTTCCAAGTTATCCACTAATAGGATTAATATGTGATAATGCCTGTTTCTTTCTATTCTTTCCAATACAGTATATTTGCAAACTCCAAGTTTTTCCAGTTTATTAGTGAAAATTGTATCTTGTAGTTTTATTTTGCATTTCTTTTTTTACCACAAGTGAGGTTGCTCAATTTTTCATATGTTTAAGAGCCTTTTGTATTTACTTTTCTATTATATATTTGTTTTGGGTTGTTGGTCTTTATCTTTCTGACTTGTAGCAGTTCTTTATATATTAAGGACACTACCCCTTTGTCTTCATATTCAGTTTTTATATAGCATCCCCCCCAAAAAATTGCAACCTCATATACTCAGAAATAATACTATTAACCTATTCTTGAGTTAAACAAGTTGCTAACTTGGTGGACTCACATCAGACTAATGACAAGTATTACTGTACAATATAAAAAGTTGAGCCAGCATAACACCCTTTTTCAAAACAAGATTCTGAAACACCCCTGCCTAAAGAGATTCATGCCATGAGCACTTATTTTCCACTCTCATCTCCTTCACTTATTCTATAAAAGAACGATTCTACGGAAAGAAAGACTTTCGCTAACAGGATTCAGTTATAGTAAGTAGCTGACTAATCATTGTTTTATTAAAGAAAGACATCATTGAAGTTACAGAGAAGAAAATCCATTATTGGCAGAACAGTTATTTTAAAAAAGGATTCTTAGAATAGAGAAAAGATTCAGCTGTTCAGCCCAAATCACAAAGAGATGAATTTGTAGATAGGAATTTCAAAAGGGGAAAGGAATAAAAGCAAATTATCTTAGTATTCAGTATGAAGAGATTTGTACTCCTAGCAACCCTTTCTTCTTCTCAATGTCAGGAACTTCATTATCTTAAAAAACATCAGTTATTCATGTTCGCAGAATTAGTTTATACACTGTATTATGTGAAGTCCCTCGCAAACCTACCCTTTTCCTCTTACCTCTGCTATGAAATATTTTTTCCTTTGTGGCTTTGCTACCTACAGAGCTGCTGCTTCATCTAAACGTTAACTTTGGCAATAGCTCTCTTTCAACCTCCATTTTCCAACAAAATTATCCTCCTTACTAAACAGATATGCATGGGGTTTTTTTGTTTTTGTTTTTGTTTTTTAAAAGCCTGATTTTTCTCTATGCATGGTTTTCTTTTTGGATTCTTTATGTAGTATGGGTCTCTCTTGTGGCACTTATATATTACTTTACTTATTTTTAACATTATGTAATATGCACAACTATATAAAAGTGTTTTGAAGGCAAATATTGACTATATCATTTGTGTTCTATACAGTGCCTTTCAAATAATTGGCAATTGGTTCATAGTTGTTAAATTACATTTTATGTGGTAGAGTCTTTATCTTCCTCATCAATTTAATGGCCTATTTTCTTCTTTCGCTTTGTATGACCTGGAGTGGCTAAGGATTAGGCACAAAAGATAAATACAAATATAAAAGTTTTCACAGCATCTTTTGGGCTTGTTCTAAGTGTACTATTAATTTATATCACTGAAACACAACAGAGTAAATAGATAGTTTTCATTTTCTATAGTTCAAAGAAATAGAATATTTTTATTGCACCCAGATAATTAGCCTTAATTAAAATTAACTCAGAAAGGGAAAATAAAAATGTATGGTACCTGGAGTTTCGTTTCTCGACTAGAGCCAACTTGTTGACAAAAAACTTCGAAGAAATCAGCTACTCCCTCTTCCACCCACAGCAAAGTCACTGAAGTCTGGGTTTTGTTCACTGCGAAAAGTGATTTGGGAGGAGCTGGTTCTGAGCAAAGAAAAAAATTTTTTTTAAAAAAAAAATTAATTTAATTAAATGTATTCTTTCTTCTTTCATTAATAAGCAGGTAAAACATCTCCAAAATCCAAATAGAGTTAGTTAAAAGCACCATAAAGACCTTATTTTGCTTTTGAAATATGTCCTTTTACAAAGATAGTCATCTAACTTGGAAGGCAGAATATTTTGCCTTTTTTCCTCCCTTTCATTTTATACTTCTCTTTTTGGAACACTTCTGTTTTCTACTTCAGCTTTATCATAGACACAACCTATTAATAGTTTCTGTGTCATCTATACTGCAGTTAGCCTTGCCCTGGTAACATAGAACTTTCTGCATGGGAAACAAAAAATCTGTAACTTAAAAAGGCTGAGAAAAACGAACTCGATATGCTTCTTTCTAACGGAGAGATGCAGTTTGGTACTTAGCCAACAACCCATTTTCTTTTCCCTGGAGGCTATTTGGAATAATTCAGTCAGAGGGATGGCTTCTTGAAAATGTAGTCAAAATTAAAAGGGTTAAAGCTAAACAGATGATCTGACTTCTTAAGAAAAGGATTGAGAGAAAGGGACTGGGTGATTCAAACATTAGAGATAAATTCTTTATCTTAGACATTTTTATCTTGATCAATAAATTAATCCATTAGTCAAGAAAGTCATGCTATCTGTGCCTCTTCAGGTTTATTTACAGTAATTGAGTCACTGGCTTTGTTCACTTGAGACCAAACTCCTGTTTGTTTCCCAGTTCCAGTAAGTGGTCTGTTGTCTCGTTCCCCATTTCTGAATCTCTCCTGGTCTTCTGCCTGTGCCTTCATCCTTTGGATATTGCCTCTCTCTCTAGTTCCTCCAGGATGTAAAGTGCTAGCCTGAACTCAAGGTCTTAAGCTGGGGTCCCCATTACCTGCACTCAGAACTCCTTGACATTGGTTGTTTGGTAACATATTATATCTAGCTGCCGGGTTCACATGCAATCATCTTCTGCCCACCTGCATCCTTGTCAGACAATTACCCATTGTGGTAGATCTCTCACTGCTTGTTACTTGCATGTCTTTTCATTTTCTGTCCCACTGTCCCCACTCTGGTCTCCAGCTCCTGGCTTTTAGCAGTGCATGAAAAAGTCCTGTATGCCCTTTTCACTGCACTGACAGGTACTAATATATGTCTTTGTGTGGAAAGGTTTGGATCTTCTTTCTAGAATATAATTAATCATCACGGCCCTGTCCAGAACCCAGAAGTATGTCAAAATCGTTCTTGACATGATGCATCGCAGACAACCTAAACTTGTGTCCAGCTGAAAAGAAGCATGCTTCTTTCCAGAGGCAACTTGACAAAGTTGGGCAGAAGAGTTGAAGCAAGAAAGAGATGAGTTAGTTTTGGGCAAGCAAAATTCACAGTAGATGTCAGGATCCCTTTATCACTTGCAATGAATTGTCTACTCCTTTGGACACTGCGTTGTCTCACTTCTCCTGTGATGAAACACAAAGGTTAATTTCCTCTTCCCATATCCTTCATAATTGCCACTACTGATAGGATGATGTTTCAGGAGTAAGTCTTTCACTGTTTCTGACTCTGCTTCCAGGGAAGCAAGAGGGCAGAGATGAAATATTTTGTTAGGCTGAGCCTGGTCTTTCTCTCTTTTAAAAATACATGCTACAGAATTGTTCCTGAGAGTGAGTTTCTCTGACTATAACCAGAATCCTAGAGACATCTGTATTTTTACTCTTGGTGGGTAGACAAAATTGACTTAGTTATTCAATACGAACACTGCCCAAATCCCAATCTCTGGATCCAACTTTCTATGTCTGCATTTTTATTTTTATTTTTTATTTGAGACAGAGTCTCACTCTGTTGCCTGGGTTAGAGTGCCGTGACATCAGCCTACCTTACAACAACCTCAAATTTCTGGGTTCAAGTGATCCTTCTGCCTCAGCCTCCCGAGTAGCTGGGACTATAGGCCTGCGCCACCATGCTTGGTTCATTTTTTCTATATATTTTTAGTTGTCCAGCTAATTTCTTTCAATTCTTTTTTTTTTTTAAGTAAAGACGGGGTCTCACTCTTGCTCAGGCTGGTCTCAAACTCCTGAGCTCAAATGATCTGCCTGCCTAGGCCTCCCAGAATGCTAGGATTACAGGTGTGAGCCACCATGCCTGGCTTATGTCTGCATTTTTAATCACCTATCTTGTGTGCCTACTTAAATATCTTACTATTACCTAAAACTCCATATTGTCAACACTAAACCTGGTTCCCTCCCCTTCTCACAAATTAATTCTACTTTCCTTCCACTTTTCCAACTACAGGAAGAAGTAGTTGGAAAAATAGAATTGATTTGTGGCACCAAATGCACCAAGAATGGTAGTACCATTCTTTCAACTTACTAAGCCAACGGTTTGGAGGCTTTCCTCTTACGTCTCAGTACTAGACAGCAATTTTGAAAATTCTTTTCATCTTTTCCTTTAATCTATTTTAAATTATATTGCATGTCAAGACTTTTGTTTATCACACTCCTTGAGCATTACAAGAGTTCCATACTTCTTTTTCCCTGACTCTAATTGGTTCTTTCTTCATTTTGTCAACAACGGTACTTTGCTCATGTTAAATACTATCTGTGCCTTGTCTATTGCATCACATCCATATATGCCAAATTTTTAAGATCTTATTTCAATTGCTACATGCTACCCATCAGCTTTACCACCATCCCTACTGCCCAGACATGCTGCCTCATGGGAAACCAGACTTCTGCCTGACCTTCATACAGGCAGGGCTCTTTCTGGGCTCTTTCTCAATCCATGTGCTTCTCCTCAGTCAGTGCACTCTATTGTACTTATTCTAAGGTCAAGGGAAAGTCTGACCTCCTCCTTGAATCCTTATCAGATGACTTCGTCTCTTGATGAGCTATCCCTTATCTGATCTTCTGTTGTCCTTAACTATTTCCTATTTAATCTATGTCAGTGAAGTTCTGATTTTACTGGATCCTACTAGATTCTTTAAGAACAGGAACTATATGTTATACATTACTTTGTCTTCATCTTGAACTAGCCACCCATAGATACCCCATAAATCTTGTCTATTGACTGATTTAAAACACGAGTTAAGGTTCATCAACCAGAAGAGCAGAATTCAAGCATCAGGCAAGACCAGGCGCACTGGAGTAGAATTTTTAGGTTCTCTGCCATTTTTATGATGATCATGTTGATAAAATCATCACATTTCTGTGGTAGAGTCAAGGACTGTTGTGAATTATAATAACAGCTCTCAGTGGTCCAAGGAACGTGACATGCATGCTAGAGTAGGGGTTTCTTTTGGTCTGCATGAGATGTGGGTCTAAGTGAGAAATAAGATTCTCAGGAAAATCCCCAAAAAGTCTGGGGCCTCTAAGAGCCATGGAACAGATTTTTCTTTTCAGGTGGAATATAGGGGCAATAAATTATCCTAAGGTCACTGCACCTATTATCACTGCACTCTTTTCTGAAAGACATATGCATATCAACTCTGTAGGTCAATGAGTAACATACGCAGATCACCTGCTTGAGGACTGTTTAGGATCCTTGTGATAGGTGTGTTTCCCTAAATAATCCAGGCAGAAATTTCACTCTGGTATCCCAAATGAAACAAAGAAACTATTACAAGATTTTTATAAGTGAAGGTATAATTGAATTGGGAGGGTCTTTTTTTTTTTTTTTTTGAGACAGAGTCTCACTTTGTTGCCCAGGCTAGAGTGAGTGCCATGGCATCAGCCTAGCTCACAGCAACCTCAATCTCCTGGGCTCAAGTGATCCTACTGCCTCAGCATCCTGAGCAGCTGGGACTACAGGCATGCACCACCATGCCTGGCTAATTTTTTGTATATATATTTTTAGTTGGTCAATTAATTTCTTTCTATTTTTAGTAGAGATGGGGTCTCACTCAGGCTGGTTTCAAACTCCCGACCTCGAGCAATCCTCTTGCCTCAGCCTCCTAGAGTGCTAGGATTACAGGCGTGAGCCACTGCGCCTGGCGGGAGGGTCTTATAGTTAAATTTTACTGCTCAAGACGATTGTCCCAGGGAATGTATTAAAATGTAAGAACTGGAATGTGAATTGTCCAACACAGCTACTAGCCACATGTAGTTATTGAGCACTGGAAATGTGGTTAGTCCAAATTGAAATGTAGACTATAGACTGAATTTTGGAGACCTTGTGTAAGAAAAGAATAAAATATCCCATTAATAATTCTTTATATCGATTGCATGTTGGAATAATGCTACTTTGTATATATTTGGTTAAATAAAGTATATTGAATTCAATTTCACTTGTTTATTTTTGCTACTTTTTAATGTGCCTACTATAAAATTTAAAATTACATATATGGCTCTCATTATATTTCAGTTGGATAGTACTGCGTTAGAACATTTCTTCTTGTTGGCAGAGAAGAAGTCTGGAAATAGTTGGCAGAAGCTGGTTGGGTCGCCCCACATCTCATGAGAAGGCAGGTCAGCTCGGATCCTCAGCCTAGGATGGTTCAGATGATCCATGTTTCCACTCCTCAGGCACAGGACTAAAAGTAGGAAATGGCTAAATATTGTTTAGGCAATTTCATACGATATGGAATACGATGGCTTGCAGATGCATTTTGATTGGTCTCTGTCTCTGCTATGGGATGAATTATGTGCCCCCAAAATTCATATGTTGAAGCTCTACCCCTTAGTACCTCAGAATGTGACTATATTTTGAAATAGGGTCTTGCCAGAGGTGATTAACTTAAAATGAGGACGTTAGAGTGAGTGCTAATCTAATCAGACTGATGTCCTTACAGGAAGAGGAAATTCGGACACACAAAGAGATGCATGTGCACAAAGGAAAGATCAATATAGGACACCGTTAAAAGGCAGTCATTTGCAAGCCTCAAGAGAAACCAACCCTGCTGACACCTTGACCTTGGGCTTCTACCCTCCAGAACTGTGAAAAAATAAATTTCTGTTGTTTGAGTCACCCAGTCCATGGTATTTTGCTATGAC